TAATCAAATACCGTGTATAATGCCGGATTCAAAACAAGGGACATCCACTCTAAATTTGAAAGGTATACTCGGGCTAGCAGGTCAGTTTTGATGGGCTAGCAGCTCTTTCAACAGGGCTAGTAAAATCCTGCTACCAATAAGTCCTGGGCTAGTGAGCTGTAACACATTTTTTTAACCCCTGACAATCCTAATTCAGACAGTAATAAGCTTGAATATTGTGTCAAAATTTGCCCCAACTGTTCATGGTTCAACTTCTGCGGTCATATCAGGCTGCGCTCAGCGCCGAAGCATTTTATTTTTGTTATAATATTTAAAACATATATAACTCAATTAAAAAAATCATTGCTAGCACTGAATGCAATAATCCTTCATCAATAAAGCATCGAATCGCCAAATATGACAGTACAAGGGAAAAGCTGTGGATTTTCTAAAAAAAATCCATATGTTTAGCATTTAATCAACACAAGGGTACATAATCCTTAAAAGCCTTTGAGAACGTAACTTTATAGCAAGGAACTATAACGTATGCAGATTTTCTTTGAACACATACGAAGGTCTTGAATATTGGGGGGGGGGGGGGGGGGGGGGAGGTCTTTCAATCCTAATTGTCTTTTAATTTGTTAGTCATCTGTTTTTCTCTATTCTTCATATTTTTTTCTCATTATTCTATATTCTTTATTTTCTTGGCAGCTATTTTTTTTTACTTTTCTGGTCCTATGTTGTGCACTTTTTGTCCATTTGTGTTCTCTATTCTTCTATAAATCCTATCCAGACCCTCACAAACATACATAATCAATAAGTTCCGCTCCTATTACCTAACCCCACTTGACATGGATATAGATAATTGTCATCCATGGGGTTTTCTCATCCGTTTTGAATATAACATTGCTATTAAAACGGGTACGTTATAAAAAAAGAAGACGTGGTATGATTGCCAATAAGACAACTCTCCACAAGAGAAATGACACAGAAATTAACAACTATAGGTCACTGTACAGCCTTCAACAATGAGCACAGCCAATATTGTATAGCCAACTTTAAAAGGACAACATACTAGGAGTCCATTACATCAGATATAACATATAGAGATGTATAAATACGCAGTCACGTATACGTCCGATGCTAAATTGTTGACTTTGTTGGAAGGCAAAATGATTAGCCCTATACTGACTGGAACTAGTATATATATAACTGAAACTAGATGAAAATCAAGGAATCTACACATGCTGTAATAGCAAATCTGAACGGAACCAAAACGCATGTTTGTAAAAAAATAAATAATATACAACTTACATTTCAGCAACTGTTATATTAGTAATTATTAATGATGTAGTTCGTGAATAAATTGTCCTACACAGTGGAACAAATGGACAGTCTAAGTACGTTAATGTCTGGATTAATATTTCTGCAAAGACGTTGTCATTTTATTGTTTCCATTAACCGACTTAAATAAAAATCAAATTATAACTTTGTAATTATTATAAATGTTTACCTTTTGAAATAAATTTTGGTTTATTGAATATATTTACGGGAAAAACGAACTCAAATGTTTTATTTCCATGTATTTTATGACATATTAAAAAACATCTTTGTGTAAAAGAAAAATCGAATCATATCAAATTTTGATCGGCCGTAAAATAAACTTCACATCACTTTATTTATATCACAAATCAATTTACAAAAACTTCTCAACGATGTCATAATAGAAAGCACGAGTGATCTATCTGGCGGACCAACTTGTGGCTAATGATTGACAGGTATGATTAGATCTTGAGGCTCCTATGGGGAACGTGGTGTCGAAAGGAAAATAGAAGATTATTCAATTATAATTTTTAGGACTCGTACGAAATGTGATCTGATATGGAAAATTTTGAGTTCTTTTAATAGCACAAAGAAATAAGACGTTAGAAGGGTTACAAATGTGTAACTATAAACCAATGACTCGTATGTAATTTACGGGAAAGATTTTATCAAAAGTTTGTTGAAAACTTTCAATTTCAAACCTTCTTATATTTATATGCAAATAGGTCTTTATTATATAATATATTTAAATTATCTTCATTAATTACAATACAATATATAACATGTATCTATGATATCCTCCGTAACGACTAAATATATGTACAGGTAAAATTAAATTCTGATCAATCGGGTACAGATTGATTTACGACCTTCCACTGGTATTGCACAAGCAATATCACAGCAGGTGTTAAATACACTAGGACAAGTGTCAGATCAGTTTGACATCCTGCCCGATTACGGTATCTTCCGGAGACTCTGTAAGTACAAGGACTGATTTTTTTTCTAAACATGACAATTGTGAAGAATTTTTTAAAGTGAGAACAAAGTTTCTGACCCAAACCATCGATTCACATTATGAATCTATCATGAATAGTAGATTAGTTAACGTTTTTTAACGTAAATACGATTTCCATTCATATATTAAAAAAATTGTAGTTGTCTTTTGCAAAGATAACACATGTATTCATCTTGTTCATTGGTCACATTAAAATAGATTTTTCTTTAATGAACAATGACAACATTTGATATTTATATCGTAAGTAACTTTATTATCAAAAACACCGTTTTATCTCGACCGAAAAGGGAAATAAGATAGTTTTTTTAATCTGACTGTAAACATTGTATATATCACAACGATCTATTAATAACCGTCGCTCACGCATAACGGATTCTATAATCATCTATGTACAACGATCTATTAATAACCGTCGCTCACGCATCACTGGTTCTATCACTGACTCAATACACACCCGTTTTATCGGACAAACGGCTAATTCCCGCCGACACGGAAAATCTCCGGATAACATGCATAATATTCTGTAATACAGCAAATTTACGATGAACCTCTAATTATTATCCGTTTCGCGGAGATTAGCCAAAAATCGCGGGCATTTTCCAAATAGGTCTACCAGTGTTGTTGGTCCATGTTAACAATACAGGTATAAGTATTACACCTGACTGTTTGTTGGTATAAGTAATACACCTGACTGTTTGTTGGTCCATGTTATCATTACAGGTATAAGTATTACACCTGACTGTTTGTTGGTCCATGTTAACATTACAGGTATAAGTATTACACCTGACTGTTTGTTGGTCCATGTTATCATTACAGGTATAAGTATTACACCTAACTGTTTGTTGGTCCATGTTAACATTACAGGTATACATATTACACCTGACTGTTTGTTGGTCCATGTGAACATTACAGGTATACATATTACACCTGACTGTTTGTTGGTCCATGTGAACATTACAGGTATAAGTATTACACCTGACTGTTTGTTGGTCCATGTTAACATTACAGGTATAAGTATTACACCTGACTGTTTGTTGGTATAAGTATTACACCTGACTGTTTGTTGGTCCGTGTTAACATTACAGGTACAAGTATTACACCTGACTGTTTGTTGGTCCATGTTAACATTACAGGTACAAGTATTACACCTGACTGTTTGTTGGTCCTTGTTAACATTACAGGTATAAGTATTACACCTGACTGTTTGTTGGTCCATGTTAACATTACAGGTATATGTATTACACCTGACTGTTTGTAGGTCCATGTTAACATTACAGGTATAAGTATTACACTTGACTGTTTGTTGGTCCATGTTAACATTACAGGTATAAGTATTACACCTGACTGTTTGTTGGTCCATGTTAACATTACAGGTATAAGTATTACACCTGACTGTTTGTTGGTATAAGTATTACACCTGACTGACTACCTCAAAACTCTGATCCAAGTCTGCCTGTTCAGTAACTTACCTCAAAACACTGATCCAAGTCTGCCTGTTCAGTAACTTACCTCAAAATTCAGATCCAAGACTGCCTGTTCAGTAATTTACCTCAAAACTCTGATCCAAGTCTGCCTATTCAGTAACTTACCTAATAAACTGCTTCGCTGAGCGCAGCTGGATACGCCCGCAGAGGTCCAACCCTGAACAGCTGGGGCAAAAATGGACACAATATTCAAGCTTGATACAGGTCTGAATTTGGATTGTAATTAAATATTTGACATATTATAGGTTTCTGAATAAATGTAGTCAAAGAACTTGAAATTGGTTATATGAATTGTTTTTATATTCAATTAAAGATTTCTTGCTGTTGTGCAATACACTATGCTGTTGCGCAATACTTAGTAAATCTGTTGTCAGACTATAAACAAATAAAATTTATAAAATTCTAAAGGGAGCTAACATCAATAGATATAATCAAGTCACCACCAAAGTTTCATAAGAATTGCTGAAAGCATTTTTGAGTTATTGTCCGAAAACTGGAAAATCCCCCTTTTTTTTTAATGAATAAAACCCCGTAACTTGGAAAAGTAAAATCTAAAATTTATAAAAATCAAAAGGGAGCTCATGTCAATAGATATAAACAATTAACCAAAATTTCTTGCAAGTTGGTGAAAGCATTCTTGAGTTATTGTCTGAAAACTGGAAAATCCCCCCATTTTTTAATGAATAAAACCCCATAACTTGGAAATGTAAAATGTAAAATTTATAAAATTCTAAAGGGAGCTTACATCAATAGATATCAACAATTCATCAAAGTTTCATGAGAACTGCTGAAAGCATTTTTGAGTTATTGTCTGAAAACTGGAAAATCCCCCTTTTTTTAATGAATAAAACCCCATAACTCGGAAACGTAAAATCTAAAATTTATAAAAAACGAAAGGGAGCTCACATCAATAGATATAAACAATTCACCAAAGTTTTATGAAAATTGGTTAAAGCGTTTTTGAGTTAATGTCCGACATGTTGACGACGGACGGACAGACGGACAACGGTATACCATAATACGTCCCGTAAACGGGCGTATAAAAACACTGATCCAAGTCTGCCTGTTCAATAACTTACCTCAAAACTTTGACCCAAGTCTGCCTATTCAGTAACTTACCTCAAAACACTGATCCAAGTCTGCCTGTTCAATAACTTACCTCAAAACTTTGACCCAAGTCTGCCTGTTCGGTAACTTACCTCAAAACTCTGATCCAAGTCTGCCTGTTCAGTAACAATTTCTACCAGTTGTTGTCTCCCCTGTACTGTAGACATTGAACTTTGTGATCTTAATACGTCCATAATCAAAATAAATTCTTCTTTTGTTACATCTTGTAAAACCTGTGGAAAAAAATAAAGAGCAGATTTTTTTTTTATATTATGTCTTTAAGTATATCCTAAAAGTAAATTTATTTAAACGAGTTTACAATCAAATTTTTTATGTTTGACAATGTTATGTTTGTAGATTATTGTACGGAGATTCTCTGCTACAATCTGGATATTCGAAGGGTGATAGCCCTGAGATATCGATGTAGAAAGAAATTTCATCAAGATTAAGATCTTATCCTTGTCCAAGGCATAAAACATATTCCAAGTTTATCTAAACAGTATTTTTTTTAAAAACAGAAATACAAATCCTTGCTTAAGATAGCTGGCCATTGGGTGTCTAAATGCTCGATTGTAGATTTTTCTTTCACTTTTGTAAAAGACTTCTGGGTCAATCGGCCCGAGAACACAGTTATTTCGTTGTGCATTTCTTTTAGACAATAAATTCAAATTAAAAAATTCACACCTGCTCTATCTCAAAAAGATTTTTACAGTGTAGTGTACTACTATTGATACAAATAATATCAAAATTATAGAAACTTCTACCAGCTGTAACTCAAAATATTGACAATTCTGTGTTAAGGGGGGCTAAAATTCAGTTTGACAGCTTCCGACATTCTAATTTTTGACCTTTTTTAACTGGACCAAATCACTACTTAACATAAAGATTCAGCACCCAAATTTTTTTAACATGTAATTTCATCCCCTTACTTAATATTTCATGCATAAAATATCAGGAAATAAATTGGGAAAGTGTATCAAAAAAAAAATGCAAGTTATACACTGTTCACACTAGGGACTATATTCGTAGACAACGAAAACCAAAGGACGATAACTGTGTCCTTGGACCAATCTACTTTCAAATTTCAATATGAAAACTGGTGGTCAGGGAGCTTGGTTTATCTTTAAAATACATTGAAATCAACAAAATCAGAACTTTATGTTAAGTAGGTTATATAGGGGAAACTTAATTTTTCATTATTGAGGATAGAATCCGCTAAAATTCAATGAGAGAATCACTTTTCATAAATGCTTCCGAAATATTGAATAAAAATAGGCACATGGCCTTGTTTTCTTGAAAAATCCAAAAACACAAATTACCACTTTGAGCTATTTGATTTGTTGTCACTGGAAATGTATCATAAGATTCAAAACAAGCAATCCTTTGTCAGTATTTATTAAAAAAAAAATTCAATTACTGCTAATTGAAATTTGGGTATATATTTACACAATTTTGCTGCCCTTTGTAAGATTTTGTAAATAGCAAATATTGTACATGCAAAAAAAATGGCCTGGGGAGAACACTGACCAAAATAATCAGCCTTGACAATATTGGCAAATATAACTTTTTTTTAGTTTTTCCATTGTTTGATGTATATTTAACATTGTTTACCTGTTTACTGTTTACATTGTGTGATGTGTAGTTACCTGTTTACATTGTGAGATGTGTAGTTACCTGTTTACATTGTGTGATGTATAGTTACCTGTTTACATTGTGTGATGTATAGTTACCTGTTTACATTGTGTGATGTGTAGTTACCAGTTTACATTGTGTGGTGTATAGTTACCTGTTTCAATTGAGTGATGTATAATTACCTGTTTACAGTGTGATGTTACATGCATATGCATATGTAGTGTGAAGTATTATTTACCTGTTTACAGTGTGATGTTACCTATATATATGTAGTGTGAAGTATTATTTACCTGTTTACAGTGTGATGTTACCTATATATATGTAGTGTGAAGTATTATTTACCTGTTTACAGTGTGATGTTACCGGTATATGTAGTGTGAAGTATTATTTACCTGTTTGCAGTGTGAAGTTACCTGTATATGTAGTGTGAAGTATTATTTACCTGTTTACAGTGTGATGTTACCTGTACATGTAGTGTGAAGTATTATTTACCTGTTTACATTGTGATACAAGAAATTCTTCAGCTTCTTTATCTATTGTTTCTTCTCCAAGGACTTTGACTTTGGTACCTAAAAACTTAATGGCTCTCTCCCTCACAAGTTCATCTTCAGACAAAATCTGTTTAAACATACCCTGTAGAGTTCCTGCAAATATATAATCAATGATCATATCTGTCTGTTATAATTTACATATCATAATGGTGTCCATAAATTTTTAAAGAGAATATTTCAACCTTACTTAATTCAGTAGCATTAATGCTAGCTATAGGTAATCAAGAAAACCCTGGTGGTGCTATGCCATATAGATATAAGGGAACCCCTGATTCAAAAGTTATTAAGATCCTGGTGGCAAAAGATAGTTCTGGAACATCACATCACATCAACTGGGAAATGTATACTTAAAGTTACATTGTATTTTTAAATTGCAAAAACTTTACTGGCAATATCAATGTAGAGTAGAGCCATTAAATCAAACATTTAAAGCAGGTCATTTTTTATTTTCGTTTGAATCGTTTTGCATTTGTTATGTCCTTTTATTGGTATGCATATGGCTTTTGCTCATTGTTAAAGGCTGTTGAAGACCTATATTTGCTTAAATGCATCTATATCAATTGGTCTCTGGAAGAGAGTTGTGTCAATGGCAATCATACATATACCACATCTTTTAGGCCACACTTAAAAATATTTTGGTTTGCCCAAACCCTACCCAAAGGTAGAGACAGTGGGTAGGTAGGTAGGCATTTTCTTTTTTTTTTTGCATAGAGAAATTGAAGTGTCAGATGTTTTTAGTCTTAATGCCTATCTGATTAAAAAAAAACTTTTTTACATCCGGACAATAAAAGATTTGAGAAGGCAGTTATTTTCTGGGTAAGGGCAAGCAAACATATTCTTTTTATGGCCTTATATGTATCAAATAAAACGGACATTATAATCTTTGATCCTTAAATGAAATAAAACTGCCTCTAATGAATTTTCTATCTTGTCTATTAATCAAAATACTTAAATATCTTTGTAAAATGACCAATTAAGGGCTGGAAATTTCCCCCCTCTAATTTGATAGGGTTTTATTAGATGAAATATTAAAATGCGAAACAATCATGAAAAGTAATACAGTAGAAATCGTAAAATTTCTTTTTCGGTCTGACAAACCCTATAACAGTTTGGCACAGACTGTCATGTTTGTTTTTTTTATTCATTGTTTTGTACATAAATCAGGCCGTTAGTCTTCTCCTTTGAATTGAATTACATTTGTCATTGCAGGACCTTTTATAGCTAACTATGCTGTATGTGTTTTTCTCATTGTTGAAGGCCGTACTGTGATCTACAGTTGTGAACTTCTATGTCATTTGATCTCTGGTCATGCTGGTGGAGAGTTGTCTTTCATCCCCCATCTTCTTATTTTCATATATATAGGAAACAACTTTCTGAATTAAAAATACCAACCTTTACAGCTAACTGCCATTAAGTTGATAAGTGATGACTGTATGAGACTAAGTTCTGTTGTATCATCACATCCCAGTAGTTGTGTTAAAGCCTCGGCAATCTTTGGTACATTACTAGCAGAATTCTTACACAGGGTTGGTAAATCTTTAATTGCTTGTTTGCGGATCTGTAATGTTCATATACATGTATCTATCATTTCATTACTCATGTTACTCTAAAATATGTATCTTATTAACATTATCCTCATATACTGTAAACTTTGGATGTAACGCGTCTTCTGATTGGCTGACCTTGTTTTGTTTATCAGCTCATAGACATAATTTTGTAATGTGACCGTGACGTCATCAACGTTTTTTCATGGTTTACTCCGGTTTAAAATGGAATTTAGAATTAAATTATAAGAAATGACTGTAATATTTTTTCTGTCTATTCGAAATAACATAAAAAATGTGGTGCACACTTTAAAATAACCCGCTACACGGGTTATTCAGTGTGCACCACATTTTTGATGTTATTTCTTCATAGACAGAAAAAGTATTAGTCATTCCTTAAATACTGTTAACTTTTAAATATACTGTAAATTCAGAAATCATTGTGTGCATTTATCATTGCAATTTTTGAAGAATGGACAAAAATTCAAGTTTTATTTATATTGCGATTTCGTAAAAAGGGCATTCATGTCTATATTTCGGTTATCAGAATGCACATTCTTATCATTACTATACTCACCCAATCGTATCATGCGCATTATTCCCATTAATAAAAACATCGCAATAATTTCTGAATTTACAGTAATGCATTCTAGGTATAATTTCAAAAGCATACACAGAAACATTTTGGTGTGCTAACAATGTCCTGAACAAGGAAGATTCAATCAATGACATGATGTTATTTTCATTTCAAACAATTGAGAAGCTGCAATGCTATCCGATTAAAATATATTGATTGATTGATGTTTAACCTTCCTTTCAGCACTATAGGCTATTTCATGGTGGTCACTTTTTATTGGTGGAGGAAGCTGGAGTGTCCAGATAGAACTACCAGGAAAAACTAACAATTCTAGTCAATTAAAACCTTTAAATTTCTATCTATCTATTATAGTTTTCAAGATAATATCTAGACAAAAATGAAATAAATGGTAAAATTCAACGTTTAAGGGCAATAACTTCTATAAGAAGTTGTCTGACAGTTTTGATGTCAATAATCATTAGTTAGATCTCATCATTCTAAACATTTTGCGCCTGTCAGATATTCTCTTTCTGTAGTGATTTTCAAGATAATAAGACAAAACTTGCATTAAATATATATATTCTATTTTTAACCATGTAGGCTGGCAAGTTGGGTCATTGGACACAATTTTTAAACTAAATACACCAATGCTGATCAAGTTTGGTTATATTCGGCCCAGTAGTTTCAGACAAGAAGATTTTTGTAACGGATGACAATGATGCCGACAGACACCAAGAGACAAGAAAAGCTCTCTTGGCACTTTGGGCCCTAAGTTTGATGTTCGACTCTTATAACATTTAATGGCCTTTCCAAAAAATGATTCCAGCAAAAATCTTTGTCTTATTTGACATATATATATATATAACCAACGTATATCAAGTGTTGAACTAGTCAAAACATGGAAAATGAAAAAAACATATCGAAAGGCATGTGTAAATTACAGGATGCAAGTATACAACAGGATCAAACTCAAAAATAAAAAACATGTGATTTTTCAGGTTTAGTTAATATGCAAAAAAAATAATTAAACAATTTAATTAAAGAATCTTTGAGAGCACACACACATACCCCACACCCCCATATTGTCCCCATGGGTAAACAAAGTTCACCAGATTCCTTGAGTTCCGAGACTGATAAAAATTTCTTTACAGTAGTATATTTAGGTCAAATTCTGAGTTCAAAGCTTAAGGGGCATTACTCCTAGAAAAAAAAGCTGAATCATAATTTTCTGTCAATATGCACATCTACATAGTACATATATGACATAATTATCTACATAGCTTCATGAAATTCTGTTACATGTATGTGGTTTCAGAGGAGTTGAGATGACAGCTTTGTTCCATGGGGTATAATAAAATCCTGACAGACTGACCCTATTTCATAATGCATGATTGGAGACAGGAAGCAGAGTTTAGCAGACATATATTACAATTTCACCTGATAATCATATTCATAAAAACAAAAATATGGAAAAACAATAGATACATGTCAGTCAGGGATATAACTCTATAGGGTTATTAGAGAAAATATCTTGCATGTGTTATTACAGATACTTTCATGAGTTGTCTACTCTTTAATCCTTAAATTTTCTAAATCTGTAGTAACATTTGATTGTTATTTGTAAATCAAATCATAAATATTTTAATTTTTAGTATTCTCTAGGGAACTCTTGAAGCTTTGCTTAGAAACTAAAAACATAGCCTTGATAACTAATTTTCCAATTGAATTAATACATTTTTCATCAACCATGGTAAATCAATGAGACAAGGCTTTTAAGGTATAAACTTAGCTGTACATGTAATAACAAGGCTTAACAAGGATCCTTTAAATAAACTTATTCTAAAAGGTTACCAATTCAACACTGTAATTAGATCATTAAATATTGTTTTTATTGGTACTAATATTGATTTTGTTATCAGTAAATTAAAAGCAAACTAAATATTATTGTTATATACATATACACATTCATGGATCTACAATTGTCGATACCTGTATCTTGGCATTGCACAAGGTCATGTTTTTCCCAGACTGTTTATGACGTCTTTACACTAAATCCATTGGATGTTGGATATGTACGGATTGATAATTTAGTCTAAGATGCATGATTTTTTTTATTGGTTGTTAGTGGCTTTGAACTAGCTGTTGTCAGTAACCGTGAGTACTCTCAGATCTGTACTTAGTGTCTTTTTGTTGTTTGGATGTACAAGTACCCTGCCACGTCCACTTGTATTTGTATTATTTGTATTTTTATCTATCTGAAGAGTTGAGTAACTTTCAACTGATTTTTATAGTTCGTTCTTATGTTGTACTGTTACACCACTGTCCCAGGTTAGGGAAAGGGTTGGGATCCCGCCAACATGTTTAACACCGCCACATTCTGTATGTATGTGCCTGTCCCAAGCCAGGAGCCTGTAATTCAGTGGTTGTTGTTTGTTTATGTGTTACATAATTGTTATTCGTTCATTTTTTGTACATAAATTAGGCCGTTAGTTTTCTCGTTTGAACTGTTTTACATTGTCATTTCGGGGCCTTTTATAGCTGACTGTGCGGTATGGGCTTTGCTCATTGTTGAAGGCCATACGGTGACCTATAGTTGTTAATTTCTGTGTCATTTGGTCCCTTGTGGGGAGTTGTCTCATTGGCAATCATACCACATCTTTTTTTTTATATTAGTCATTAAAGACATGAAATTTAATACATTTGTATATGAGACACTCTGCGTTTCCACAAAACTGACACTTTTACTACAAGTGTTTCTGACATTTAAGCGGAATATGAATGAACTCATCAGAAATGTAGAGGAATCTGACAGAACATTAAAATATTAAACTTTATTTTAACCAGAGTAGTCCGATATTACTCTGACGTCCGAAGGCTGTTTTGGCAGACAAAGCTTGTCTGGCAAAACAGCTGTCGGAGGAATGTAATTCTAAAAAAAATCCAAATTCATTGATAAATCAGTAGCAAATTTCAGGTAGGTTAATTGAAACAAAATCATTTCTCAAAGAGAGGAATTGTTCCTTTAGGATAAGGGGAACCTTCTCCCATCTTCTCTTTGTTTTTTTTTTGTTGCATTAGACAGTCCTGGGTTGGTGGGTAAAAGCTTAAAAATGGGGGGAACCCCTGCTCAATGTTTTTTGGGATACAGCAAATTTCTTTGCAAACCTGTTTTTATGTACTTCCTTAGCATTCTTAGTACCATAAAGATAAAACCATATATTATTTGGCAACTCTGTCATGGGCATGTGAACCAACAGTAAGATGCCAGACTTGTGACTGAAGGGTTGTGGGTTCAACTCCTGTCACCGGCAATAAACCTTGAGCAAGATACTTTCCTCACTTGATCCAGTCTACTCCGCTGTTTAAACATGAGTATGTGGTTCAGAGCAGTGATGGACATGTTGAATCTTGTATGCTGTTTGCTTCATAAAGAAGTTGAGAATGGTTATAGTTTGAAAGGTCCAATGACCATCGATGATAATTTGATGTTTTGAGACGATTTATTGTAAATATCTATGACCATGTACAAAAAATAATGCTATTCAGGGGACGTCCATGTTTGAAAAGATATAACATCATATTGCATGTTTAATGCATGCATTTAAGAGTACTCTTTATTTGAATTGTACTGTCAAACCACAAATTTTCGACTTTTAATAGAAGAAGAGCTAACCTTGTTGTTTAAGGTTTCTTTGTATGTGGTCATTGAAATTTACTATATACATTGAATACTGCTGAAGAAAAAAAAACTTTTGACCTACCTACCTACCCACCTGTGAAATCCAGGGTCGGGAGAGGGGGAAACAAACATATTTTTAAATGTGGCCTTAGTTATTACAAACACATTTTTTCTGTAATAACATAGGTGTACTATGCATGATTGGCAAACTAGGAACTGTTATATCTTTCTATAGTCAGTCAGGGGACTTACTTAAATGAATGATTTTTAAATCACTGATTCAAGTAACATTTTGTTCACAAATGTTGGAAGTAAGAGTTGTCTTTCTTTAATAATCACCTATTTAAGTAGTACAAATAAATAAATAAATAAATAAATCACTAGACTAAGTGATTTTATTTTATTGTAGCTTTAATTAAATATACAATACTAATAATCCAGAACCATCATCTGTGTTGATAGGATAACCGGTCATGTCAGGTGATGACCTTGTACTGAATCTGGGATAATGACATGAAAATCATTTGTTTAAGTATCATACCTCTATTTTCTTCCAAAAAATCACTTCTTTAAGTATTATTATTTTAATTACCCCTACTAATTTCAACACCCCCCCCCCCCAACATTGAAATTTTGATCGCGAACAGTAAAATTTTATTACATAATCTGTAAGATGAAACCTTGAATTTTACAGGAAAATTACTCCCACTGCTGGGAAAAATCTGTTAAGAAAGTATCACTTCATTATGTAAAGCCTTCATTATAGCATTTTTTCAACAAATATAAAATTTACAGCTAAATGATTGCATAAACCTTGCTATTTAAAAGAAGAAAAAGGTTCATTTTTTTTTTCAATTTTACTAATAATAAGATATAATCTAAACCTATATATGTTTAAAATTTTGGTAAAACTACAAAATCACAATTTGTGACAAAATTTCGAATTTGCTTCTTAAATAAGTGATTTTATAAATCACTTATTTGAGTAGTTCCCCTGACTGATAGTTTAGTATACATAAGGACAATAGTTATATCAATAGAACTTGTATACATTTTAACCAAACAAATGATGTATATATTAGCCCTTTGAAACATGTAACATACACATGTTATCACAGTTCTTTCATTTTTTAGTCCACAATAACAAATGTATGTTATTTTTCTCTAATAACCCTATATAGTTATATCCCTGACTGCGTGTAGAGTTTATCCTATCTAGCACAGATGAGATGTAACATACCATGACATCATCGTCTTCACACAGATCAAACAACGCATTGATAGCTTGGTTGGCTAGTGATGGGAAATGTTTGAAAAATCTGGCAATAAACTGTGATGCTAATCTTTTCTCTCCTGGACCTCCCTTAACAGCATTGATGAAGTTCAAGTATTCCTGCTCATGCTGAAAAAAAAAGTTTTTATTAATTACATAATACAGATAGCAATTCACAAATTGGGGTTTTTACCCAACAATTTTGATATAATTGAGTGAAATATTTTTTCTAATTGCAATATTTATTTCAATTCACCCCTCAAGCAAATATCAAATTGGGTTTTTCACCACTACACCACCAAGCTCATGAATGTATTTGTTTTTTTCATTATCTAAATTAAATATTGAATAAAAGCATGTCATAATGTAATCATATCAAACAAAGATGTTTATCCACTGTTATCTGAAATATGTTTCTTTCAAGTATTTAAGTGATAGCGGTTTTATTTGGTTTAATCACTGCTGAGCATTTTTTTTTTACTTGTGTCTGGTTTGTTGCAATTGTTCCGCCAGTTTTGTATTTTCTGTCAATTTATATAAACTGGTGTTACTAGAGGGGCAGTAACTGATTTTTATTGATGATATCCATATGTTCAGCGCTCTCATTTTGTCTTGTCACTGCTGCCAGCTGAATTGTTGGGGTCCCTTCGTGGCCCCAAACACTTGTACATGTTGTAACTTTGTTGTCCCAGTGGCTTGCGGTAGACTTACATTCATCTGGAGCAGTATATAAATGAGATCCCCCTTTTCGATTTTATTTAGCCATGGGTTCTTTTCTTCCAGTGTATTTTCATCAACGGAAGATAGGAAAACGTAGACGATTTTTTCTAAAATGTCACATATTGAGAAATGTTTCAATTAAGGAATCAATCATGTGAATTGCATACTTCTGTGCTTCATTACAGAATGCTGCAATTGTAATTTGAATTAGAATTAGGTTTCAATTGCTTTTATTGCAAAATCACACAAATACAAGAGTCCTGAAAACAGTCATATTTTTCTTCACCTAAACTGAAATCTGAATGATCGAAATGGGGAATTTAGAGTTTTGGTCATGAATTTTTTACAGAAATTTCATTTCAAAGAGATCCAGGTTTTTATGCCATTTTGCACTAATTTGGTTTAGAAATGCTTTTCCAGTAAAAATACTGCCCCTCATGTACAATGTATAATATGCTAATCCTGAGTCTGAAGGACCTCTTAAAGGGGCACTAGCTACGAGAAAGACAATGTATAAAAAATCTAAAATCAGGGCTCACGCTACCAGGCGACTAGGGAGAAGAAGTCGCTTTCCCGTCCGTCACTTCGCTTTGCCCGACCCTCAAAAGCGAAAACAAGTCGCCCTGTTGTTTACAATACTCGCTTTCAGTCGCTTTCGTCATCGGACATTTTCAATTTTTACCAAGTTGATAAACATGATAAAACATCAATTTTTTATTGATTATTAAAGAAATTCCGACATAAACGATTCATTTTCTTAAGAAAAGAGGTTAAAGCATTGACTTTACATTGTGTAGTAGGTTATTTAATAAAAAGACAACTTTTTATCACTGCATGCACTTCCGGTACTTGTTACTCAGAGAGCGTACATCAATCTAACTTTCGGCGGCAAAATAAGTTTGTTACTTCATTTGAAAGTGATAAAAGTTGCCTCCAGTAAATGTTTAATCCATTTATTGCATTAAAAACGTCATATTCCTTTCCAAATAGCTTGTCAAACATCGTTTATTTTTGTAAATTTCCTTCGTCCGCCATTAACCTTTTACTAACTACGGATCGGAACCGGACCAGCTATGACCGAAATCCGAATTTTTACAATAATAACTACGGACGCATGAATGGAACAGCTGACAGAAGAATATTGATCCCAAAAGGAAAAATTTAGCATTCCACACACATTAACAGACTTTTGGTTAAATCTAATTGATTAATGTATATAATTCCATATAATTTATATGGATTGTTTCAAAATATTGATTAAAGTTGCTTAACTACTAATATCAATATATTATGGCCCAGCTTAACTTTGTATATCTTTTGATGAGAAACACTGAATTTCATAAACATGATAAACAAGATAGTTTTTAATTGAATTGTAATTCATATATTATAATTTCTTTACCTTTTTGACATAAAAAAAATTCTTTTTAGTGCTAGATATTTAGTTGGTAGTTTCTCAAGAACCTAAACTTAAACAACTTTGAATTTGAACTGTTAATTTAATTGTATACCCAGATATGAATTGAACAATATAAAAAGAACATTATTTATATGGATTGTTTCAAAATATTGATTAAAGTTGCTTAACTACTAATATCAATATATTATGGCCCAGCTTAACTTTGTATATCTTTTGATGAGAAACACTGAATTTCATAAACATGATAAACAAGATAGTTTTTAATTGAATTGTAATTCATATATTATAATTTCTTTACCTTTTTGACATAAAAAAAATTCTTTTTAGTGCTAGATATTTAGTTGGTAGTTTCTCAAGAACCTAAACTTTGAATTTGAACTGTTAATTTAATTGTATACCCAGATATGAATTGAACAATATAAAAAGAACATTATTTACATACGACCCTTTATACTATAGTAAAATCAAAACATTGTAGCACAGCGCGCGAAGGAGCACTTCTCTTTCAAATCTCACCACTTCTCCCTATAAGTTTCAAAAAGAGAAGTCACTTCTCCCTATGATTCTGAAGTAGTGTGAGCCCTGAAAATATGATTTTTTTAGTTCAATCATTTATGAAAGTGGAATAGTGAAATAATAATTCGCTATTAGCGGCCAGTATGGTTCAATTTTGTCAAAATAAGCTAAGAAACATTGATGATGAATTATTCACTTGCAAGTGAATAATTCGACCTCATTGAATCAGTATTCATGTGAACTTCAATTTAACCCCTTAGCTAGCAATGGATAACACATGAATTGTGCATGTTGAGTTATTTAAAGGAAAACAATGTCAACATTGAAAGTGAAACAAAGGTAAATCATTTGATTGACTGATTGGATCCACAAAACATCATTCTTATACAGGTAAAAACGATGATTAACATATTTTTAATCTATAATATGAAATTAAACAGACCTATAAAAATCCAATTGCACGAGTTCACTTTCTATTTATATTCGCTTATATAACCATCGGAGGTCAACTCGATAGTTAATTAGATGGTGTCTAGACTAAAATACACATAAAAAGTTACATATTCTAGAGCCCATGCCCTGTAAATTGTTTATTTTAGACTTTTTATATTTTGGATAAATGTTTTTCATTGTTATGAATTAAATATGAGAATTTGAGTCAAATCAGTGAACATGAATTTGACAGCTAGTGCCCCTTTAATTACCATGCTAATAAGTTATGCCTCCAAGAGATATTGGTGCCAGTTCAAGGTGAGGTAGTTGCTCGAATAGACTTGATAAGGGATTCTGAGGCAGCCAAATCAGAAAATTGCTCACCACTCAGAATCCAAAAAGGGGTTGAACTCTTCCCTAACTTAAACCAGTTAGAGTTTTACTGTTTATATCTCCAGTTAAACAACAAGACTTTTCATGGACAGCATGTTTAAAATGTGTGAGCATGTATCCCAATAAGGAGATATTAGATCTTTTATTTATTGAAAAGGAGATGAATCAAGATCATATTTTTTGCATCTTCATAAAATTTTGGTGAAAATGAAGTGTTGTTGAAAAATTCAAAATGTAAATTTTAAAAGTGATTCAGAACGCTATACCTCTCCGGCTTTGTCTTTAGCCTCTGCCAAGACACCAAAGTCTTTATACATTTGTTCTACTGTCACCATTTCTTTATATTTATAGTGCAACTCGTAGAAATGAATAGAAAACGTTTTCCTTGCGCGTGGGTTACCGGCGGAAGTAGATTCTGATATAATAAAGTGTTGATTTATAAAACATATCATGATATATGGATTAGAATTACCTGTAACAAGTGTTATAATAATTAGTTTTATTTTCTGTACAAACATAAAATGATTATTTTTGTTAATATAAGGAGGTATTTCATTTAATAATATTTGTTTTGGTTTTTGTTGCCATATTTTTATGAAGGTCAGCCAAACGAATGCTGGACAATTCGCCCCAAAAAACCTCGTCCACCGTCTAATAGTTCAGTTTCAGGTATTTTCTCCTAAAGTTAATCATGTTAATAGTGGCGCACCAACTTCGGATATCGTGTTTGGGAATAGTTTCACTTGTTAAAAAATTAAAAACACACGAACCCATTTAAAATGTCATGATGCGACAAAAGTTGTGCATGTCACACAAATAAATATGTCAGATCAAGTTATTCAGAGGTTTTACAATGTGCAAAGGAAGACAAAACATCAGGCTGTATATGACGTAATCTTGGTAAATGTCATGCCTGTGAGTGGATATAAAACGTCAGGCATATATAACACTAGTAATACCAACTTTATGATTAGGCTAGCAGTGTCTGGGACCCACATCTCCAAAAATATGTACAAAAATTGGAAATGGTCCAAAGGAGAGCAGCCATATTGATCAAGCATTAGTATTCTCGAGACTGGCCAGGCATATGGTAACCGACTGTTTTATTAGAGGACCCAAAACTACCACAATTACTGGAGAGACGAAAAACATCACGTCTACTCCTTTTTCACAAAGCCGGTAATCAACCAACTAATTTCAATCCCAATTTCAGAATACTTGATGACACCAGCAAGACTGGCTCGTTAGTTCCATAAAAGACGATTTGTCAGATTAGGATCAAGTACTGACCAACGAAAACATAGCTTCTTCGTAAGATCCATCACAAACTGGAATGAATTACTGCCGCCTAGCCTATTGGACATTGTTGACTATGAGACATTCAAGACCCCGGCACCTCATAGCACACAGATATGCGTAAATCAACACACAAATGGGTTTTTTTTTATCTACAAAAAATGTACACTGGCACCTGTGCTCTCTAACATTTTGAGAAACATGTTGCTTTTCAATTATATTTCATTTTAAAATACTTATCAAAATATAGGTTACTACACGAATCACAATCCGGCTTTCGCTCAAAGCACTCATGCCATACAGCCCTTACCAATTAAATAGACCATTGGTTCAAAATTATCGATTATGGTAATGTAAATAATTGGCTGTAAATTTTTAGATCTAAAGAAAGGTTTTGAAATGGTGGATCATAAATTATGGTGGATCATAAATTATGCTCTGTCAAAATTTGAGATGCTACGAGATCTCAAATTTTTCATTTCGTTGGTTTGAATCTTAGCTTTCTTTATGAACACAGAGGATTTGTGTTGGAGATATTATGTGCTGTGCTAGTAATAGGATCTATTCTATCGAAAATAATTTAGATAATGATCCCTGTTTGGTGAACATTTTGTGTAATAAGAATAACTTGCATGAATAAATCTAACAAACACCACAAATATGCTAATAGGTACTCCCCAGAGGAAAGTATATTGGACAAGAAAATAAATGTTTGTTATTATAATAAAATTATTCAAATAGTGAATACACGAAAGGTATTAGGAATTAAAATAGATCACCACTTAATTTGGAAAGCGCAAATTAATCAAATTTCAAAAACTATTAGCTCAAGGTTGTTTATTTTTGCAAAAATCTAGAAATACTTTGACTTAAAAGTTAAATTTTGGTGATAATGAAGTGTTTTGACATTAAATTGGTTAAGTTTCCGAGAATTTCATATCATAAACTAATTCTAGTACTATATAAAATCTTACATGACAAAACTCCTGATTAGCTGAAAAAGTTTGTGTTTTTTTAAGATATTTAAGATCCGTCTCAAAAACAATATGGTAGTTATTCTGCCAGTCAGTTCTGTTCTTATCATCGCAACTTCTCTGAAACATAATTCATGAAACTCTTGAGATAACATGGATAATACGGACGTATACTTTGTAGATGTGTATATCCACAGGAAGTTATTATTCAATATTCTTGAGGGGCCTGATGGGGGGGGGGGGGGGGATCTCATCACGATTCACGAGTTGATTTTTCTTGTCAATCACGATTCACAGAAAATTAATTTCCATGATCACGGATCACGAAAATATAAAAAAAAAATAAATCTGTAGAAAAACGGATCACGATAGCGAAAATGCGCCGATCACGAAGAACGAAAATAACCCATCAGGCCCCTCATTCTTATAGGAGTTATATATATATATATGCCCCTTTAAACTTAGAATTTACTAGAATACACTACTGCTACAAAAGTTTGTCATCACAACTCCTCTGAAACCACACAAAAGAATTTTAAGAAACTTAGTAAATACTAAGAACATACTATGTAGATGTGCATATCGACAGGAAAATATGGGCTTTTCTTGTATGAGTTATGCCCCTTTGAACTTAGATATAATTTTGGCTTACTTGGAGTTCGGTATTTTTGTTGTTTTGGTTTTAGCAATAGTTGCATCGCAACTTCTCTGAAACCACACTACATAATTTCATGAAACTTTGCAGATACTAAGGGTATACTGGTGAGATTTTGTTTGTCCAGTAATAATGTGGGGGCATGGGGTATGAAAGGAGATAATAAAGGTTCTTTAACTTGACCATTATTTTTATATGCCCAATGCTTAAACACGTTTCATACAAAGTTGCTCAACAGTTCACAGATGCCAGTCCTGGCTAAAGAATAGTTGCTGTTGATCTAGTTGTACCATCTGACAATGCCACAAATACTATAAAATGTCTCTATTTATTGTTTTTGGAATTTAGAAACCAAAACTTAAAATTTTTGTAAAACAGTCTTTGTAGAGTATTGTAGTAATTATCACAATTGAAAGTCATATCTCTTGCATAGGCAACTTGTCTTGAGCAAGTTATATTTTCAAAATTAGTTTGCGACTTGCCTTAGGGTCGACTCGTCCCGATATCAACTTGATTTCAAGTTTTCGGCTTCCATGCAGTTACAATTAGGCATGTGCAGTCATAATTGTGAAATTCTTTGATTTCTCACGACCATTTTGAAATCTCGAAGATCTCTTAACCTTAACCTATCTTAAAGTGGAATAGTGGTGTTATAACAAAACATAAAAACAAAGTGTAAAAATCAGTTGGACCTGACGTGGCTCACTTAGATCGGTTGAACCGTGCTTAGCAGAAAAAACAAAAAACAAATAACAAAAACAAAAAGACAAAAAGACAAAAGACACGTAGTGACGACTTAAGATTACTCGCAGTAACTGAAAGCTAGTTCAAAGCCTAGTAAAGATACGTAGTGAGGGCGTAAGATTACTCGCAGTTACTGAAAGCTTGTTCAAAGCCAATCATAACACGTTGTGAGGGCGTAAGATTACTCGCAGTAACTGAAAGCTAGTTCAAAACCCATTAAAGACACGTAGTGAGGGCGTACGATTACTCGCAGTTACTGAAAGCTTGTTCAAAGCCCATCATAGACACGTAGTGAGGGCGTAAAATTACTCGCAGTTACTGAAAGCTATTTGAAAGCCTAATAAAGACATGCAATGACGACGTAAGATTACTCGCAGTTACTTAAAGGTAGTTGAAAGCCTTATAAATACCCAGGATTAGGAACAATACTTGCTTAAATTGTTGACTCTTTAGAAATACATATTTTTACGAATTTTAGCAACAATTTCTGTAAGTGGTCAGTTCATACAGATCATTCTATTTACCATGATAGTGCCGCTAAACAAATCTTTATTAACAAAAAATAATCATGCTTATTTTTAACAGAAACAGTCCAAATAAGATATATATTATGTTGCATACATACTGCCACTTTTAGAATATGCGTGAGAGCTATGGGATGGGTGGTGTATAAAAGATTCTGGGGAAAAGATTGACCGCTTGTAGCTTGAGGCAGCAACAAGTATTTTTGAACTTCCACAATTTTCAAGCAATTTAAAGAATCACGATTGTTTTTAAACTGGGTGGGAAAGTTTAAGTTCTAGAAGAAGCAGACGTAAATTATGTTTATTTCATAAGCGACATACTAATAATGTTCCAGAATAGATTGTTTCCATTCTTCAATTCGTGCATTGATTCTAGTAGTGTTAGATATCAGATCTATTCAGTCATCTCCAAATTTTAAAACTACTATTCGGAGAAATAAGTTCTCCTTTTTGGTACCTAAATATTATAATTTTGTGTGCAATATGTTTTCTCTCCTATTTCCAGTAATGGAATATTTAGTTACTAAAAATTTACAAACAGATGTAGTCCCTTAAAAGATGATCTATAAAGATTTAATTTGGTAAATTGACCCGAGCTGTGCTTGGGGTTGTCCGTTAGAAGATTCGTTTTTTTTCTTAGAATGTCCACTCTACATAAATTCCAGAAAAAAGTTATTTAAAGGTAACCAACATTAAGTTTTTATTTCTCCAGAACATATTTTATTAGGGACAGATGCAATTAGTGTTGCACAAAACACAATCCTTTTCAGAAAATATACATACATGTAGTCATACCGTAATTAAACGCCATACAAAACTATTCTTCGATTAATATTGGTGTATCTTAAAATGTATTCGTATAAAAACGACAGAGGAATGAATGAATGGATGAACGAATACACGAACAAACATACGAACAAACACAATGGTCATTGTTTACTATCGCTGTACTTGGCAGTATAAATATGCAATCGGCAATCCTCGGGTGAATCCGCTACTCGGCCGAGTTGTGACGAATCCTCTTAACACATATGGGAGATAACTGAGTGTTCCTTGGAAAAGAGAGGTGACAGATGTATCAAAGAGATATTTAAACTCTTAAGTCGAAAATAAACTGACAATACCATGGCAAAAAACGAAAAACAATCAAAAGGCAAACAACAGTATACAAAACACGACGTTTGTCTACTTCTATCGTTTCATTTACTTTCCCCCTTTTTATGATAATTATTTTACCGTTTGTGCCACGGTCTATTTTTCTCATTTATAATATTCAATTAGATAGAGCAGGCTTCAAGCAGTATTAATTATTTTGTATGTATAAAGATAAGGAGATGTAGTATGATTTTCAATGAGACAACTATTCACCAGAATTCAAATGAAGTGGATGTAAACGATTATAGGCAACCGTAAGGCCTTCAACAATGAGTAAAAGTCAATACCGTATAGTCGGCTATAAGAAGCATCGACATGAAAAATATGAAATAATTCAAATGAGAAAACTTATGGTCTAACTTTAAGTTTCTACTTTTAAATACACTGGACGCTAGGAAAGGGAGAAAAAACGAGGACAGTCAGGTCTTCCTTAAACAACATTTCGAATGAAGTGGATGTAAGCAATTATAGGCAACCGTAAGGCCTTCAACAATGAGAAAAATCAATACCGTATAGTCGGCAATAAGAAGCACAGACATGAAAAATATGAAACAATTCAAATGAGAAAACTAACAGTCTAACTTTAAGTTTCTACTTTTAAATACATTGGACCAGTGGCAGATCCAGGGGGAGGGGGGTTCCGGGGGTTGGAACCCCTCCCATTTTTTTTGACGATCAATGTATTTGAATTGGGACATATAGTTGGACCCCCCCCCTTTTATCCTGGGTTGGGAATCCCCCTTTTGAAAATGGCTGGATCCGCCCCTGTGGACGCTAGTAAAGGGAGAAAAATGAGGACAGTCATGGTCTTCCTTAAAAAAATTGAATACTTCTAATATTGCATGTGAACTTTTTATGTTTAACAATGGTTTGTTATTTCTAGAAATTTGAAAAAGGATTTGATAAAGAATTTTTATAATATTGCCTTCTTTTATAGACGACGTACATGTAGTTCCTTTTCGTGGCTACCTCGGATATTCATTTGCTTCAAGTTTAAGGAACCATGTTATAGTTATCATCATTATGGATAAGGTTTAGAAGTTTGACTTGTGTAGGGATAAATTATGAGTTAGAGTTTAGGGTTAGGTTAACCCCCCCCAATCCTTTCGCGGCTCCCAATCCACCTCCCCAAATATATGTTTTGATTTGTTTGCTTTGTATCTAAAATTTAAAGAGAATTTTTGTGGTCATTGACGAAGAGCCAGACAGTGCAATAACATCTTTTGAGATGGAAGTTAATGCACTGGTCTAGGCTCCTCCCATTCTCTGCTTTTCCTATCACAAACCGTGAACGGCGGGAATGGTTAGTGCAATATAACTAAACAAAACCGTTCGGTTAATGCACTCCTTTGGAAAACCGCGCTAACGTTCATCCATTAATTTTTTTTCAAAATTCAAAATTCAATAATGAATTTAAAAATTAACAGAAGTTACAACGTTAACACCCTTGAAGATCGCAAAATACCATCCATATATGCTTCAACGTCATAAAATTCGCTATAAATAGCCAAGAAAAATCAATAATAGCAAGCCAGTCTATTTAATGACATATCATTTTAAAGGTATTTCTATAGGTAAATTAAATATGCATTCAAAAATATTGAAAATACAAATAACAGTCTATTTACTGACCTATTTGTAGAACAACTGTAAAACGTTGAGCGGTAAGTGATGATTCTATTTATATTTGGTTTATTGTTGCTTCAAATGTTCTTGCTAATCTAAATGTTTAGTCAATACGAGTGATTAACCCCTAAACTTAAAATGAAACAATTGGTTAAGTTGCTAATGTAGTTTTATAATATGAACTGAACAAGGTATGGGTTTTGCTCATTGTTGAAGGCCATACGGTGACCTATAGTTGTCATGTCATTTGGTCTCTGGTGGAGAGTTGTCTCATTGGCAATCACACCACATCTTCTTCATTATTAAGGTTCACTAGTTGGCTAACAATCGACTAAAACGTAATGGTTCAAGCATGCAGTTTATGCTTTTATAATTCCTACTATGAAAATAATAAGAATATCTAGAGTTGACGTCACTTTAGCCCTCATTGATAAAAGATGTTTCATACAAATTCAAGACAATAACAAATTAAAAATCATTGAAAAAAGGGGGTGGGGTACACGTCCTGGGAGGGGGGGTTCTCATTTCCTCATTTCCTTCGAAAAAACATTATATATCCCACAATTTTGGCATTTCGAAAAGAATTGATTTGTGCATCAGATTTCCTTTCAAAAACACAACTATGCATTAATGATTAATACATATATCTCAATCGCAATGTTGCAATGGATACTAGATACTAGTACTAACATCAACGGATACATAATTTTAAAAACTATAAGGCACACTCATATAATAGAATAAACTGATTATGTCTACAGAAACTTCATAAAGCTAAGTATTACACAACCATCTTTTCACGGTATTGTTACTACCCCCCTTTTTTCCCACGCACACAAACCGCTTATTTGGGTGATATATAGGATTCAGTGTGTCTGTCCGTCCGTCCGTCTTTCAATCTGTTCTTTTATTTTCGTCTATTTCTGTGTGCATTTAAAGCACAGGTACTAGACGAGATTTTTTTTAATATAGACTATTTATTTTACAAAATTCTGAGCTTGTACCTGTGCTCTAACGACTACATTCTCATAAACGACAGACATTTTTACAGTTGTAGAACACTCCCTGATAAATGTAATACCGCTTCTTCTTGTTAATCGAACTTAGTTACTTCAATATTGCAATACCTCTGTTTAATATATCCACATTTTTTAATTTATAACTTGAAGAGATTTAGAGCAAACACAGCCATATCTATTATTCAATCGTATATCGACTTGTAGATGAACAGAGAACATTTCTGGTAGACTGTTACTGAACAAGGGTTATATCAACAACTGTGTAGACAGCATTTTAGCACTGATAGCAGGGGCGGATCCAGCCATTTTTAAAAGGGGGGGGGAATCCCACCATATTTCCCCATTCAAATGCATTTATCGCCCCAAAAAAGGGGGTCCCAACCCCCGTAACCCACCCCTGGATCCGCCACTGCATAGTATCTTGCGTGCGTTCTAAAAAAAGACAAGGGAAAATAAATCTAGACCTTTTTTTGCGTCCGATCGTATAATTTACATTTTTTTAAACAATGATTCTTTTTAACATTGTTTTACAGTTTGTTATGTTGGAACCTTTTATACATGTATGTAGCTTACTAAATGATTCAGATTTTGCTCATTGTTGCAGACCATATTAATTGTGACCTATAGTAAATTGAATCTTCGTCCTTATAAGGAGTAAATATATAAAAATAAGGAGATCTTGTATGATTGCCAATTAAACAAATATCCACCACAGTTAAAATAAAGTGGATGTAAGCAGTTATAGGCAACCGTACGGCCTTCAACATAGAGAAAACCCATATCGTATAGTCGGCTATAAAAGGCCCCGGCATGAAAATACGAAACAGTTCAATTGTGAAAACTAACGGCCTGATTTATAACAAAACAGTTTACGAAAAAAAATTATATGACAGACATGAACCAACGACAACTAATGAACTACAGGCTCCTAACTTGGGACAGGCATATAAAGAATGTGCGGCGCCATCATTCCCTAACCTTTTACAGTGATATAATAGTACAAAATAAGAGCAAACTATAAAAATCAGTTGTAACTTTTATGTCATTTGGTCTCTGGTGGATAGTTGTCTCATTGGCACTCATACCACATCTTCCTATTTTCATATTTACTAATCAGATAGATACAAAGCAGAAATATATCTAACAAAAAACACAGGCTGGGCTTGACAGGGTATTTATACATCCCTAAAACAAATAACAAAAAAATACACAAAACACAAATCTGAGAGTACTTGGAGTTACTGAAATCTAGTTCAAAGTCAATAACAACTAATAAAACAATCATGTATCTAAGACTAAAATATCAGTCAGTACACACCCAACATCCAATGGATTTAGTGTAAAGACGTCATTAACAGTCAGAGAAAAACATGACCTTGTGCAATTCCAAGATACAGGTATCGACAGACTGTAGAGCCATGATGTGCATATGTATATGAAAATAATGTTTAGTTTGATTTTAATTTACTGATAACAAAATCAATATTAATACCAATAAAACAATATTCAAAGATCTAATTACAGTGTTGAACTGGTAACCTTTTAGAATAAGTTTATTTTAAGGATCGACAAGTTTACCCGGATCGTATCTAAATTTCCGGGCTCGATAAACAACTGCAGCCCAGTAAAAAATTAGGATGTGTTATCCCGTTTGAAATAAGTTTTCTACAGGTACAACTAGACTTCAAAACCAAATCTTTATATATCTATGGAAGAATTTAGTAAAGGTTTTAAGTAATTTGTGGTAACGAAATCCCTGACTTAATAATTTACCAGTATATATAGTACATAGATTACGTACATTGAAATCCTAAACGTCACAACAGACACGGACATAGCGAACGAGTTGAATGTCAAAATCATGCACAAAACGTGCTATTTATTCAACAAGGGGCATCGGATTAATATTTTGTGATGTAAAGTACAGCCAATGCAAATGGCCGTTCTTTAAGGTTTTTTTTAGCACAAATTTGACTGTCGGAAGGAAGAACGTGTCACCATCGATACCTTGAATCTACACGATTGAATGTCTAATATTTTTTTTTTATGTTTTTAGCTCACCGGGGCCCGAAGGGCCACATGTGAGCTTATGCCATCACTTGGCGTCCGTTGTCGTCCGTTGTCGTCCGTCGTCTGTCGTCGTCGTCGTCGTTGTCGTCCGTCGTCGTCGTAAACTATTTCAAGAATCTTCTCCTCTGAAACTACAGGGCCAAATACCTTCAAATTTTATCTGAATGTTCCTTAGGGTATCTAGTTTATAAATTGTATCCGAAGTTTTGATCCACTAACAAACATGGCCGCCATGGCTAAAAATAGAACATAGGGGTCAAATGCAGTTTTTGGCTTATATCTCAAAAGCTAAAGCTTTAGAGCAAATCTGACATGGGTTGAAAATGTTCAATAGGTCAAGATCTAACAGCCCTGAAATTTGCAGACGAACCCGAACAACACATTGTTGGGTTGCTGCCACTAAATTGGTAATTTTAAGGAAATTTTGCAGTTTTTGGTTATTATCTTGAATATTATTGAAGATAAAGATAAAGTGTAAACAGCAAAAATGCTCAGCAAAGTAAGATCTACAAAAAATTTTTTGTATGACCAAAATTGTCAATTGACCGCTTAAGGAGTTATTGCCCTTTAAAGACAATAAAATTTGTTCATCATGTTTGCTAACATTTAACAATCTTCTTCTCTGAAACTACTGGGCCTAATACTTTTAAACTTTAACTGAATGTTTCTAAGGGTAACTGGTTTATAAATTGTATCCGAAGTTTTAATCCATTAACAAACATGGCCGCCATGGCTAAAAATAGAACATAGGGGTCAAATGCAGTTTTTGGCTTTTATCTAAAAAATTATAGCAGTTAGAGCAAAAGTGACAGAAGTTAAAGTAATGAATAGGTCAAAATCTATCTGCTATGAAATTTTCAGACCAATTGGACCACCCATTGTAGGGTTACTGTCCGAAATAGTTTATTTTTATGAAATTTTACTGTTTTTGGTTATTACCTTTAATATTATAATAGATAGAGAGAAAGTGTAAATGGCAAAAATGTTCAGCTAAGTAGGATCTACAAATAAGTCAAATGATCAAAATAGTCAATTGACTCCCAAAGGAGTTATTGCCCTTGAAACGTTTATTTTTTTTACATTTTTTCGTGCAAGTCTATTACTTTTTCAAAAACCTTCTTCTATGAAACTACTGGGCCAAATACTTCCAAACTTTAACTGAATGTTTCTTAGGGCATCTAATTTGTAAATTGTATCCGAAGTTTTGATCCATCAACATACATGGCCGCCTTGGCTAAATTAGAACATACGGGACAAAAGCAGTTTTTAGCTTATATCTAAAAAAAACTACAGCAGTTAGAGCAAAAGTGAAAGGAGTTAAAGTGATAAATGCATGGGTCATGATCAATCTGTTATGAAATTTTCAGACAAGTTCGACAACCCATTGTTGAGTTACTGTTGGAAATAGTTTATTTTTATTAAATATTACTGTTTTTGGTTATTTTTTTTAATATTATAATACATAGAGAGAAAGTATAAATGGCAATAAATGTTCAGCTAAGTAAGATCTACAAATAAGTCAACATGATCAAAATAGTCAATTGACCCCTTTTTGTGAAAGTCTAATTTCAAAAATCTTCTTCTCTGAAACTACTGGACCAAATACGTAAAAACTTTAATAGAATGTTCCTTAGGGTATCTAGTTTATAGATTGTATTCGGGGGTTTGATCCATTCAAAGACATGGCGGCAGTTTCTAAAAATAGAACACAGGGGTCAAATGAAGTTTTTGGCTTTCATCTCAAAAACTATAGCAGTAAGAGCAAAACTGATACAGGCGAAAGTGTTAAACAGATTTAGATCTACCTGTCGAGTAATCTTCAGACCAATAGGACAACTTATTGTTGGGTTACTGTCCAGAAATAATTAATTTTTAGGAAATTTTACAGTTTTGGATTATGTATTTTCTTTAATATTATTATTATAGAAAGAGAGAAAGTGTAAATGACAAAATTGTTCAGCAAAGTAAGATCTACAAATAAGTCAAATGCCTGCAACTGCAGGTGAGCGATATCAGGCTCTTGTTTTTATATGTTTTTACTATTGTTATTACTTTATAATTGCAGGTATCTTCCATAAACATTTCAGTATCAAATTAAAGTATGTCGAATCAACTAAAATATATGCATAACAAAAGGAAATAACCATTCGTACATTGCCGTCAACGATCGACTCATTCTGAATTTTGTCACAACAACGTGAATTACTGAACACTAATGGAAGAAGGTATACCCATTTACTTGGTTTAATATGATTCTTATTTAAAAATCGAGCAAAGTGTTATTTGTGTGAGGTGCTGAATGGGGTTTACAGAAAAAAGAATAATGGCCAAATAAATAACGAATAGAGAAAAATTAGCAAAAAACATAAAGAACAGAGAATAATGGGGTGCAAAGGTATAAAAAATAACTGTGGAAAATAAAACAATAGGGTAATACAATACTGATTACAAAAATGAAGGATGTACAGAAACCCAAAAACAATATCGTATTACAGAAAATCTTATTGTAAAATCATTTTCTTGAGAATTTTACAGAATGACCGTTATTTTTAAAGAGAAGGAAAATGCCTTTATAATTAACAGAATACACAAATTAAAGTCCCGTATCAAAACCCTTGTCTGTCGTCTTGTGTTAATACGCGATAAACTGTCCAAGGGAGGGAAAAACATTACAGACAACAATAAAACTCCTTAGCTTTGAAAAGGAGTGAACAACAGTATCTAATATATACTTTTCTATTAAAAACTTCCAGGGCAGCAAATGATTTCAATTTGATAGTGATATTTCAAAACATAAAATATAAAAGATCTATTACATGTAGTACTCTCAATTGAATTTGACTATATAACAAAGCGATACAAACGTTACAAACATGTTGTGAGTATGACGTGAATGCAAGCCGCCATGTTGTTTGTGTATTGCTACGAAATAAGTCCAATGAACCCAAAGTCTGTCTAAAAAATCAACGTAAAAATACTTCATGAAGCACTTGTTCTTTAATTATTCCACATAAGGCAAATTATCAGAATAAGTATCATCCGAGTATTAGTCGACTGGAAAAAAGTACCCTGTTTATAAATATCGTCTATTGCAATTGTTTTACAGGTATTCAAGAAAGACAAAATTTTTCTTACGCAGTAATAAGACCTTCAAATCAACAGAATTCCTCATATGTTCCTGCCAAACCTACAAATAAAACAGACCCTTCTTGCAGTACTGTTACTAAGCAACCAGTGATTACCACTAGAAGACCCCCAGGTAATAATTTAAGACAAGGAAAGAAATTATAAGAGTGGACTTGATATTTATACGCAAGAATTTACCTTGTCGACACACACAGGCTTGATGCTTTCCGAAGTGGGCGGTATATATTTATAACGATGAGAAAGTCCGTCAGTTCGTTTCATTTGTGTATCCGCGGCTGTTCCGGAACCGGTATCGAGATTTTTCGCAACACGAACCCCATAAAAACCGGGGATGAGGTCAGATGCTTTTGAAGGGGCGTTAAGCTGATCTTGCCCCAAATGTGGCACCCATACCATCATCATAATTCAATATATGTATTATATTTGGTTCATGTAAATGTTTGAAACAGAAAAAAAAAAAACTTTAATTTTTTTAAATTATACTGCCGAAATCTTTTCTGAAGCCGCTTTTAAATAATCAAATAACAAACAGTGCTATTGTTTAGGCAGGAGTGGGGGTATCATAGTGTGAACATTGCTAATACTAGTAACCGTATCTCTTGTTACATGTATCATTTTACTTGCTTTCTTCATCTTCAACCATGTTTTTTTTTCTATTAATGTTTACCATCTTGACAGGCACTTTCAAAAAAGTAATATAATACTTCCATGGTCCTGTCAATAAAGTCAGACAACTGTCACCATGACAACAGCAATCCAACTTTGCCGTAGGGCCGGACAATCGGATTGAAATACAGATCTTGTGTCCTAGCTTTGCTTACAAGGATCTGATAAACATATAAAAATAAGATGTGGTAGGATTGCCAGTGAGACAACTCTCCACAAGAGACCAAATGACTCAGATATTAACAGCTATAGGTCACCGTACGGCCTTCAACAATGAGCAAATCCCATACCGCATAGTCAGCTGTAAAAGACCACGAAATGACAAATGCAAAACAATTCAAACGAGAAAACTAATTGCCTAATTTATGTACAAAATAATGCACGAAAAAGAAATATGTTACACAGCAACAAACGACAACCACTGAATTACAGGCTGACTTGGGACAGGCACATACAGAATACGGCGGGGTTAAACTCGTTTAAAGGCGCCATTTTACTTTCCGTTTTAGTAATTATTACATCAGTCAATGAAATTTCAAATTTCTAGTTTTTGAAGGTGTGTATTAATCTGATAACACACGAGAACCCCGAAAGGTCTTTAAAAACAGAAAGTAAAACGGAGATCCCTGTAGACAAAGCTTGGACACAAACTCCGTATTTCAATCAGAATATCGATAAAGACAAGTTATTTTGCCCTGCTCATAAGGCCAAAGCAATGTATTATGACGCCATGTCTTTTGGAATTAACTGTTAATGATGTGAATTGATTCGTCAATGATGTTGTTTTTCGCTATGGTTCGACACATTCGTTAAAGTAGTTCGAGATTTCCTGTTGATATTCTAATGTTTAAAAAATTATTTTACAACTAATTAATCATTATTGATGCACAAAAATAAGTGATTGATAGAAGATACATGCTGTCCTGTTATTAACTCTCGACTAATACATGTATCTGCCCTCAGAATAAAGCCCTGTGGCATTTATCAAAATCTCGGAATAATTAAAGGGAATCTATGGAAAAATACTTGTACTAAATTACCTATCACGTCTTTGTGAAAATAAAAATGCTTAACCCGTCCTTAATTCCTAAGACCCGGACTTATCACTTACGTCATTATGTTTGACCCGACGTTGACAAGCTTAACACGATCTTTAATATCAAGCCCTCTACCGGTTTACTGTTAAAACAACGAAATTCTAAAGCATCTATAATGAAAAACACATAAAGACAATTATCAGATTTTGTAAAAAAAGTCACAGTGTAAAAAAATGTGTTACTCGACACACTATACAGCATTTTTGAAACTCGTTCACAGTGCTCACTCGCCAAAAGTTTCCATGTTGTGACATGCAGTTTATATTTTAACAATATACATATGCAGAAAACCTGATTTTTGGTCTGCAACTTGACAGTAATGGATAGTAACTAACTTATCAAAGCTTTTGAAATCAAACAGAAACCAAGTTCCTGTCCGTTTTCTTAAATTTAAAATTACAACTGGGGGTATGCTTATCACAACAACGCGTGTAAGTTCTTATTTTTTTAAAGCTTTTGGGCAGATTGTGAAGAAACAAGTATGGGTAGAAGAAAAGTCGAACATTCCTGGTGTAGTTCCAGGACTGCAGTATCTTACATCTCTTGATCAAGTATTCGTCAAACAACATATTGACATGATGGAAGGTAAGAAAAACAATAAAAATAATTACTAAAAAATATAGACTTCAGGTGCCTGTATTTCAATGGTTTGTTGCTGTGTTACATATTTGTTTTTCGTTCATTATTTTGTACATAAATCAGGCCGTTAGTTTTCTCGTTTGAATTGTTACATTTGTCATTTCGGGGCCTTTTACAGCTGACTATGCGGTATGGGTTTTACTCATTGTTTAAGGCTGTACGGTGACCCATAGTTGTTAATTTCTGTGTCATTTGGTCTCTTGTGGTAAGTTGTCTCACTGGCAATCCTACCACATCTTCTTATTTTATATTGACCTTAAATTGCCTTTCCCGTCAAAACGCTGTATACTACGAATTTCCTTTATAAACAATCTGATTGAAAAACATATCATGTGTCTACGCTTCGCTTACAAGGATCCATGACAACGACCCATTCTACTTTCTGTTTGTTAGACCTTTCGGGATACTCGGATTTTGTTGCAATGATAAACGCCTTCAAAAGTTTGGAGGCAGCAATTTGATTGGCTGATATAAAACTAACAAGAACAGCAAATATAACCTAGAGTTTTCAGATCCTTGTGAGCAAAGCTTGATTGCTTTATAAATGATATTTCTTTACCCCTGAATTCCCGCTGCATGCAAAATTTCATAGAAATCCATGCCGTGAAGTCGTTCATTTACGTAACTGTTACATTGAAGATGAAGTGATTGGTTGATTGTTGTTTGCTTAACGTCCAAATATCTCATACATGTTCAGGACAAGAAGAATTAACAAGTAATACATAAAGTAGGTCATGTAGCAGAGGATCGACAGTAATGAATAGCAAGACATTTGGAATGACACTGGAAAATAAGGATATAATGGATAGTCACAGATATTTAGCCAAGCAAGTCACCCAGGGACCCCTCAAAGAGTTGATGCAAGGGTGATAGAATAGAAGAAATATGACCAAAAACAAAAACAATAAAATACACGTTAAAATTATGCTACTTAATTTGACTCAATACATTGAGGTTCGATTATCTAGATTATAGATAATATTTTCTTTTGCAGCAATGTGGGAAAAAGCAAACAAGTACAAAATACTAAACAACCAAAGCGAACAAGTTTACTTTGTGTCTGAAGGTAACATGATATTTGTATTATAGTTCTAATTCTTAATATAAATGTAATTTTTTTCAACCAGTTTTAACCAGCTGTATTAATTTTCTATTTTATTGTTTTGATAAACCACTGCTTAAATCTGTTTTGAGTGGGAAAATATCATAATCATAAGGACCCCATAAGGGTATGTTTGTATAAAGATACTGTAGAAATCGTATGGAAAACTAAACAAAACACCCGCGAAACAATTCCAAAGGGACAGTATTAAAACAGCCTGATTTGAGATCCACATGATCAATAATATTAAATGCAAACGATCAAGGCGGAAGGCAATCAACGACACCTACTGGACTACACAGTTCTGGTTTTCGAGAGTATGGTGGGTGAAAACATGTTTGTGACTGTCCAATCATTCCCCTAACCTGGAACAGAATTTTTTAACTGCTGATTAAAACCTTTGGCTTTCTCAATCTCGATCAAAATTTTTCTGATTTATAGCAGGACTACTTGTAGGTGTAATACCATTTAATCATAGTACGTCACATCCGGTTTCATACGAAAAAGGGTCGAAAATGATTCCCTTGAATTTGTAGGAAGTTAACCCTGCATTTCATTGCAGAAAAAAATTCTGAGTCATAAACATATATATTAGGTGTTTCAAAGCACCATCTTTTTTTTATTTGGTGTTTCTATAAGATAATAAAATAAAACTTGAGGTTACATGGTTACTTAAGCTGGTAAACAGGGGTGAAAATTTGATTAGCTAACTTCTAGTGATGGTTATAATCTTATATGCAATGAAATGTTATGTAAAATTTTGTCTGTAATACTGGACAGGATAAAACTTCACTCATGCGAAGTATTTCTTTATTTGAAACAAAGATAAAGTCTGCACATTTTTTTGAAAAGTGACAATTTAACAAAGACTAATAAGAGAAAATTACTCCTGTAGAAGTTACACGAAAGATAAGACAGTCACTTGTTTGTTTTAGATGAAAACCTTTGCTAAAATATCAATTGTAGATAAAATATCAATTGTAGATAAAATATCAATTGTAGATAAAATTCTGTTTATGTTTCATCTATCATTGATAAATGAGGAGACATTAATATGGGGTTGTTGCACATCTAATTGTCAGATAAAATTAATCAATAGGAATCTGAAGCCTTAAGGTTCATCTTGACAAAATATGACCGTGTTTCCACAAAATATAACCATTTTCAAACTGTGTTTCAAGGTACTTAATTTGTATTTTCATAGCTCTATGTATGAACACCGCCTCTCGTGGAAATTTGTTCGCCTCGAGTGCGGGAGGTCGTTGGTTCGATCATCAGACAGGTCAAACAATAGATTTGGCGGGAGGTCGTGGGTTCGATGATTGGACGGGTCAAACAATAGATTTGACGGGAGGTCTTGGTTTCGTTCATTGGGCGGGTCAAACAATAGATGGGAGGTGATGGGTTCGATTATGGGCGGGTCAAACAATAGATGAAAGTTAATGGGTTCGATCATTGGCTGGACAAACAATAGACGGGATGTCGTGGGTTCGATCATTAGACGGATCAAACAATAGACGGCAGGTCGTGGGTTCGATCATTGGACGGGTCAAACAATAGGCGGGAGGTCGTAGGTTCGATCATTGGGCGGATCAAACAATAGACGGGAGGTCGTGGGTTCGATAATTGGACGGGTCAAACAATAGATTTGAAAATTGATAGTTATGTCTACTCCGCTCAGCTCGTGGCATTTAGGAGTAAGAACAAAAACTTGTCAGCTCGGAGTCAGAATAATTTCTCCAGGTGAGGTGACGTATCTTCTTTCGGACCGTTACCGTGTAAACTAAAGCACTTTCAAAATCCAGCTCAGCATAGGGTAGCTAGGTTCATATTCATTTAGCATTATTATGTTCTCGTCCTGAATATGCATTTAATTTGACACTGAACGTAAAACATCCATCAAACCAACCAACCAACACATCAACTAACCAACCAACAAATTAACCAACCACCTATCCATCCATCCATCTATCCGTCCATCCATCCAATCTTCAAATATTCATCCCTTCAACCCAATCGGATTTATGTCCATTCATCCTTTTCACATTTATAAGCACAGTTTTAAGTAAATATATTTATGGGTAAAACCCAACAACAAACACACCACAACGTTTGGAATGTAGCAAAGTTGGTCCAAAACAAAATTTCAAACAACAACGCAACACAACGTTCTTAATATATACTAGGCAAAAAAAAGAAACGTTACATGTCTGTTTGATTATTTGTATTTTTGATAACAAAAAAATGATAACAATAGGTTAATATATTTATTAAAGCACAATTTACACCCACAAGAGGGCCAAAGGCATGACAATTAAGTGTAATAACAACAATATAATGATGACATTAAAATTTACATAAAAAAAGAAAAAATAAACCAAAACATTAAACACAACAAATGACCTCAAGTGCCCCCAGTCCTCAGTTCCATAGGCTGTTTAATAAAGGAGCCTAAAGATTTCACTTGCTGACTAGTGGTTGGATTTAGTATATATTTCATTTTATTATCAGAAAAATCTTTGTATTGAGTTTTTAAATCATTAAAAAAGACATGTCTTAAAACATCATTTATTTTACATATTAAAAAGAAATGTGATTCATCATCCAGAACTTTGCACTTATTACAAAGTCTAATGGAATAGTTAGCTTACATCATTTTGAAGAGAACAATAACAAGGTCTCTCTATTTAAAACAATATTGCACATTTTCGGACAATTTCAACAGGACGAGTACAGAATTCAAGTTAACATGTCAATATCGTGTATAACCACTCTTGAAATTTTGACCGCCGCGGACACGGCGAGCGTTTCCTGTGGATTTTGGCTATTTCTTAAATTTCGTCCAAGTTCGTCCCAAAGATGTTCTATTGGCGATAAATCTGAAGACATTGCTGGCCATGGAAACTCACAAATGTGATTATTCTTCAAAAAGTTCACCGAAATGTGTGCCACGGGCGTTGTCCAGCTAAAAACGTGGTTAAAGCGATGCATTCGGAGAAACGGGAGCTAGAATAACTGGCGCCAGAATTTCGTCCCTATACCTTGTTGCGTATAAGACTTAGTTACCCTCAATGATTATGAGCTCGGTGCGTTCCTGGTTTGATATTCCGCCCCATACCATAATTCCTCCACCACCAAACCGATCTGTTTCCTGTACGCACATATCAGAAAATCGTTCATTGCACCTCCGGTAGACCCTACCTCTGCCGTCTTTTGATTTTAAGCTGAATTTCGATTCATCGGTAAAAAGAACCTGTCTCTGTGTTAGCCTATTCCATCGAATCCATACCCGAGTCTATTGAAGTCGCGCCACCATGTGATGCTGCGTAAGGATAGGTCCCTTCAACGGACGACGTGCTCTTAGACCAACTTGACGCAATCGGTTACGAACTGCTTGGGCAGATATTCTGTTGTTATTTCTTCCGTGGTTTTGTCGTGCTGTTTATGACGCGTTTACCAACCGATTCCGGAGATGAATAATGCGGATGTGCCTAACTTGTTGACGTAACAACGTTTTACGTGGCCTACCCCTTCGGGGACGATCATTTGTCGTGCCAGTATCTCTTAGACGAGTCTTGCATTTGTCATTCTAGAGACATTAAAATGATTTGCAACATGCATTTGTGTCATTCCTGCTGCCATTATCCCGATAGTTCTTTCTGTCTTATTTTGGCGTGACATTAACTTACATGTAACTTTTCAATTTTTTAATGCGACCTTTTGTTTACAATGGTGTTCGACACAATTAATGACCAAAAGGACAACTCGATTCCATCTCTGTACAGGTACATTTTTGAAAAAATGCTTTTTTGATTGAAATCAGAAACTGACGTTACGTCATTTCCGATTTTTTTACGAATGAGTAAATTTGATAGATAAATCATTTAGGTTACTAGTTTTAATCTCGACTATTTAAATTAATATATGATTTTTTTTTAATTAAAAACCAATGTAACGTTCCTTTTTTCGCCTAGTATATAAAATGGGTCGTAGACTAACTATCTTGCAAAATTAAGTGCATGACAAACGAATAAAGAATTCTTGCATAATTAGTAAATTTATTACGATAATGTGGATTTTGAAAATAAACATGACAATTGAAGTTCACATGCCCGACATTTCGCGGGGACCTTGCAACTTTAAAAGTAGGGGATCAGTGGCGGATCCAGAAATTTTCATAAGGGGGGCCCACTGACTGCCCTAAGAGGGGGCCTGCCCCAGTCATGCTTCAGTGATTCCCTATATAATCAACCAAATTTTTCCCACATAACGCCCCCCCCCCCCTTTTGGATCCGCCTATGGGGATACAACAAAACTTCTTTTATGTAATAAACAAGGGATATCGATTTTATTTTAAATTTTGACGAACTTTGACCTTTTTGACCTTTTTTTTTAAATTTTTTTTAGAGTCCGATAAATGGAACAGACAATTTCAAGGACCAGACCGAGGATTCAATCTTCGTGTATTTGACAATACATCTCAGGTAAGAGTATAGAGCACATAATCCCATTCTGAATTTAGTACACTGGAAGTATACAAGGTGTACAAAAAGTCACAACGAAAGCACGCGTTTTTCTTTTTAACCTGTATTGGTCAATATTGAAAGATTACGTTCAGTTCTGAAATGAGACCTCATCTAAAAAAAAAAAACTGTATTACAAATGTGTAAAAGAGAGGCGAAAGATACTAAAGGGATATTCAAACTCATATGTTGAAAATAAACTGACAATGACATGGCTAAAATAAAAAGTCAAACAGACAAACAATAGTACTCAAAACACAACATAGAAAACTAAAGACTGAGTGTGCAATACGAACCCCACCAAAAACCTGGGGTGATCTCAGATGCTCCGGAAGGGTAATCAACCCCTGCTCCACATGTCTAAATCTTTCAATGCAATGCAGCATATGAACAAAGGGATATTGAATAAAATCTGCAGATCACTTAGTTATTTCTCTTTTATGACTTTTTAATATTGCGTTTTACATTATCCATTTATCCAGTAGCCATGGGTTAAAGAAGAAACCATAGGTAGTTTTAAAGATTACTTTGCATTCTAAAGAAAATACCAAAAAAATAATTATGAATAGGCTTTCAACCCTGTAATCAACCTTTGCATGATCCTGAAGTTAAGTAATTTTTATACGTAGCAGGTAAAACTTATTAATTTCTGCTTCATTTTTTTAAATATAGGAGGTTATGCGTTTCTCTAGAGAACACATATGTTGCGCTGGATGTTGTTGTGGTTATTGTGTAAGTCTTCGTCAAGTTCTGACCGTAGAGGCACCAGTCGGGGAAGTAATTGGATACGTTCGACAGGAGTGAGTACTAATTCCCGATCATAAAATTGTCATCCCTTTCTCTTACTACCAGAGACGTCCCTCTCATAGTTTCACATCACGTGATTCTTTTAGAAATCACCCTTCTAAAGAAAAGTCTGTGACATTAAATTATCTTTCTCTTTCAATCAGAGATTTCCTGGAATTTGCTCTTCAACTTCGTACTTTGTTTGGCATTTTTCACTTTTTTATTCGAGCGTTACTGATGAATCTTTTCTAGACGAAACGCGCATCTGACGTACAAAATTTCAATCCTGGTATCTATAATGAGTATATTTACTATGCATCAACAGCCTAAGACAAACATGAGATTGTGCAATGTCAAAATCTCATGCATGTTCAGCTAGAACGAGAACACATTATAAATTTATGCAATAGGTAGATACTGCAAGAATCGGAATGACGGGCTGGACATTTGGACTCAAACTTGAACATGAGTGTATATTGGATAAGGGTAGAAAGTTTGCCTTGCAACCGGCCATCTACGATCGAACCTCTCCTAGAAATGTTGCAAGGGTTCTTTAACGTACAGAGAGCGTGGCACTTACCTTACACGAGAAATCGGATTTAACATCCCCATTTCAGTAGGACGTGGTCGCGTATTTAGACATCCTGCACATCCTGCCTAGACGCCGCACTTTATAACGATTATAACGATTATCAACAGTTTCTCACATCTTTTAATACATCTGTTAGTCAGAATACTAAGTATACTTGTTTTTGATAACATAGCTTTCTCTTTATCGTGAATTGTACAGCTCGTGCATGACATATGGTTTACGAAAGATTATTACGATTTTTGTTATTCTTAGTAAAGATCTAATGAGTTAAACCTTTCTCATCTGATCTTACAGTCTTATTCTATTTTGTGCGCTACTGTCTCAGTTAAGGTTGAGAGATGATCGATCAAAAACATTTTGACCTCGCAAGGGCGGATCCAGCAATTTTTGAAAGGGAGGGGGGTTCCAACTTAGGATAAAGGGGTGAATTCTAACCATATGTCCTCATTCAAAAGCATTGATCGTAAAAAAGGGGGGTTCCAACCCCTGGAACCCCCCCCCCCCCCCTGGATCTGCCACTGACAAGGCATATCCTTTAAGTTACGAGACTGTTATACAGCGGTTGTCGTATGCTATAATTGTTTTTCGTTCAATATAACTGATGGTCTGGATAGAGTTTACAGAATAGAGAATAATAGGCAAAATGTGCAGAATAATTGGCAATATGAATAAAGAATAGAGAAAAATAGGGCAAAAAATATACCCTCATAATCATCCGTATCTTCTATAAGCGATGAAAATACAAAGACAACCAAACATCTTTTTACCTTATATTTGCATCATGAAATTATTCATTATTTTTTTCAAATTCAGAATTACTTTGCAATATTTTGCCCAAAAAGAGAACGAAGATATCCTTAAAGAACAATAAAACTTCATAGGCTGAAGAAAAACTGATAATATGATGAAAACGAGAAAAAGGAAAAACACCAGAATGCCATGGTATAAATAACACTACACAGAAAATTAATCAATACGAATCCCATCTAAAAGCAGTTGTGATATATCAGGTGCACGAGAGGAAACAAGAAAATCCTTCTCCTCTAGTGGCATCCGTCGTGTTACTGACGGCAAGTAAAAACACTCCTTTGGAAATGTCACAATCGAGGAGGAGCGGTTGATAACAATAATTTATAAGTAGAACATAATCATGGTCATCTGTGACTTTTCATGTAATACAAAGCTTTTTATTCATTTGATATCAATTAGAAACAACGGGAAACTCCTTCTATATTTTGTTGACGAAAACTTAAAAAAAATAATTAACGGTTTCATTTCTATCAGAATATTTCGTTTCTTTTCAGGTTTAAAAAATCTGGACCTTGCTATTCAGTAAGAGATGCAGAAGATACCATCGTTTATAAGATTACTGGACCTTGCTGTGTATGCGACTGTCCCTGCAATAGAGTTAGATTTCCGGTATTTACACTTTTTAAATTAATTCCTCTTTTTTTCTTTGATTGCTATTTTCAATTCTTATGCCAGAATATAATGGATATGTGAGTGTCAGGATGGGGTCCATCATTTTTTAGGTCATACTCTTTTCTTGATATTTTTGCTTATTATTCACTATTCTTTATTTGTTCGCGCTATTTTTCGCTATTCATTATTTTTTGGGTTCATTTTCATGTAGATTTGTTCCCTTATTCTCAATTCTGTAAACCCCATCCAGATCCTTATATGTGGCTATGAAGAATTGGTTTTTCTTGCAACTGGTAATTTTATAAAGAGCTAGTACATTTCAACATGCATGTTTGTTTAAGGTAGATTTTTTTTGCATGTGTTTGGTAGACATCTGTATATTGCCCTCTAGATATTAATTGGCAACGGTTAAATTGTCGTTAGGTTGCTGTCTCATTGACGTATACGCCACATTTAATTTTATTTAAACATGGTGGTATAAAGAAAGGGTGTTTTTAAACATGAATGCTTTTGGCAGTTTTGAACTTCACACGTTTTCGTATTTTCTTAGTTTGAGAGATGTTGATATTTCCTTAACTAAGATGTTAAAACAGACACTATTTTACATATTGCATGAATTAATAGAAGTGTTGTAAGATTCTTAAAATGTAATCTTGTCTTGGAATTTGAGTCTTTACTTCGCATTGAATCGTTACGTGTCGTTTCTTTCTTTTGGTGGTGCCAAGTTGGAGTAGATAGTTTGTGTCATGAATCACTACACCATATCCTTCTTTTCTTTGTCTTGACTATTAAAAGAATCTAAACATTAAACCATTGTAAACAGTGAGGGGTTCCTAATCAACCATTTCCGATATAGTACATCAACACACGTATTCTCTTACAGATAGTGTCAGCAGACGACACAGAGGAAGTTGGTGTAATCAGCAAAAATCTTGGTATAGAAAATTATTTCGGAGATGCTGATACGTTTGGTGCAAAGTGTTAGTAAGCATAGTTCAAGGCAAATCTTTGTTTTTGATTTATCTATTCACAACTATTTTGCTGTTTATAATTTGTTGCAAGGTTTCTGTATCATACCAGTATCTCATTTTATTCATATACGTACAATTATTTGGTTATGAAGAAAATATTGAATGATTTTTAATCAAATTGTAAGTCTAAAAAGAATATTTTGTGTAGTTTTGTGATGTACGTTTTGAGATCGTTAATTTCGCCACAAAATAGAGCTTGAATACCGTTTAGACACATGCAGGCGCGTAGCTGCCTTTACGCAAAAAATCATTTGCTTGCACATTTTTTTCACAAAAAAAATAATTCTGAAATTAAATTACAAACGAGTAGGAAGACAGGTCAACCGGGCTAACTATCCAGCTGACACTCCAAGTCAGTATTGGAAACGAGCCTTGACTATTTCATTGAGGAACTCACAGGACGTTTACTGGATAACTCTGATCGTTTTCAAGGCCAGAACCTTATACCTGCACGTTTGGAATCTTTGACAGCAGAGTGTATAGACAAACTATACGAAACATTTAGACACGACTTGACGGACAATCAAGAAACGTTCAACTCTGAGGTAAAGAGATGGCAGAGACGCTGGTCGGGTCCAGATGTTATAGAGTAGCCCAAATCTCTGATGTCGTCTCTAGCAGTGACTCAAAAGGAACTATATCCTTCAATAGTTTGCAATCGTGTCAATCCTAGTTACAATGCCAGTAACTACATCAACTACTGAACGGTAATTTAGTGCATTACGGCGACTGAAAACTCATCTCCGTTCAACCATGGTATAGGACAGAATATCTTCGTTGGCGCTCATACATGTTCACAAAGAAATGAATATCGACACCGAGAGAGTTCTGCGATCATTTGCCTTGGCAAAAAATAGATATATGGACTTTGGATATTAACTATACTTTAAGTCTTACATGCAGTATTAACATTTAATAATACAGGCTCAATACAATAACCTTGAAAACATCTTAGATTCATATCCCTCACTTATAAGTCAAGACTTAAAAGTCGCCGTTTGATTTCGTATTCCCATTGTCCGTTCGTCCAAAAGACTATTAATTCACCTTGGGTATTTGTGTCCCAAGTGACCTTCTACCGTTGTCGTAGAAACCCCTCCTTTGATTCGAAAATGACCTTAGTGAGAAACGCTACGGTCGGGTGTCTTGCAAGAAGCAGGACCTGCTTACCCTTCCGGAGCACTGGAGGTCGCCACATTTTTTTTTCGGGGTTCCTGTTTTTTATATGTATTTAGTTTCAATATTGAATGTTTTTGTTTGTTCTTTTGTGTCTTATCTGTTCCCGGGTTGGTCATGTGTCCATTGATTGCCCTTCTATTGATAAACGCTTCGGTTGACTTGTCGACTTATCTTCCCGGTTTATAAAACTTATTTTATATTTGAAAACAACCATGTTAATAAGGAGTAATGTGAATTTCATAAGCATGGCATACCTGGAAAATGACCGAAAAATAATAATTTTCTGCATAAAAAGGTCCCAAAAAAATGTTCGCCTCGCTCCGCTCGGCGATACAAGACTTATGCTTGCACTTTGTTTTAGGCCAGCTACGCCCCTGACATGCTAACTGTTAGACAGTGTGTTGACCTCTAGACGAGTTTAGTTAGTTGTTTCGTATGGTTGAAGACACATCGTTGTCAATATAATGGAATTTTATGCGACTGCCATACAAGTAAGAGCTTTAAAATCAGATTTAATCCACCATTTTATACATAAGAAAATGCCTGTACCAAGTCAGGAATATGACAGTTGTTATCCATTCGTTTGATGTGTTTGAGCTTTTGATATTGCCTTTGACAAAGGACTTTCCGTTTTGAATTTTCCTCGGAATTCGGTATTTTTTTTATTTTACTTTTTAGGAACTGAGGAGAGTGGACACAGCAACTGCATAACTATTATTGATGTTTAATATGTTATAATTTTTGCACTGTTAATAATATATTTGTATTGTATTGTTTATATGCCTTCAACCCCTCGGGGTATAAATGTGCATTTCATTAATGAATAAATAAAGTAATCAACTTATTATATTATTTCAATAGCCGTTGTGGAGATATGGATGATTACATTGCAGGAGTCGATACGATACCTGAAAGAAATGTTGTTGATTTTAAGCGCAATGCGCAAGGAGAATTATTATGCAAATATCAATTCGAACTGCTGTATTTTAAATGGAAGAAAAATGTGTCAAAAATAATTATACTTATATATCTCAGCTTGGATCTTCTGTAGTGGATTATTGTCTTATTCCATATGAATTACTTGATATATTTGAGCAATGTGAAGTGATAACTATGTCGGAATTAATCGAAAAACATGATATATTTGACTATGTTGATCCATTAGTGTCAAAACCTGATCACTCGATGTTTTTATGGAATGTAAATGTACAGAAATGTGTGAAGGAAGCAACTAATGATAATGGAAATAATAGTGAATATAAAAAGTTTAATTTGAAAAATATTCCAAATTCGTTCTTAGCGGATCATTTACGTGATATTGAAGAGTTAATTTTATCCTTGGAATAAGGTAATGTCAACCAAAATAACTTGGATATAGTTTACCAAAATTTTGTTAATCTTTTGAAAAACGAAATGTTGGAAAAGATGGATTATAAAGTTATTAAAGTGTCATTAAGCTTGAATAATAAAAAACGGCGGATGAGAAAACCGTGGTGGTTGGATCATCTCACGAATTTGTGGAATGATGTGTGCGCTATGGAAAAAGAGATGCTGAAAAGTAAATCGGATACTAGGAAACGTCAATATAGACAAGAATTCATATGCAAACGGAAATTGTTAGACCGTGAAACACAACGTTCAAAGCGACGTTACTGGAGAGACCAATTAAATGAAATTGACAATTTGGAATCAACAAATCAAACTGAATTTTGGAAAAAGATCGGACGGGTAGGAGTAGGCGAAGAGAGAAGAAAAGCTATACCTATGTCTGTGCGACTACCGGATGATAGTATTTCACATGATCGAGACGCAGTCCTGGATGAATGGAAACGATCTTTCTGTAGTTTGTTGAACCCAGAAGGTAATATTGATAATCTTCCAACGGACACAAGTACAGATTAAAAACCAATTGTTCAGAGAACAATTGAAGGTCTTTCCACCAGTAAGGATCTATTTTGATATGAAAATATTAAAATTTTGTTTTAAATGTCAATTTCCGCGTCAAATGACAGCTTATTGTACGGTGATTCCAAAAATATATGTTTTTTTATACAAAAAGATATAAATAAGGGAGATAATTTTTTACTTCCGGTTTAAAAGATGTTACTTCCGGTATTGTTTGATAGTTTACTTGACACTGATTCCAAAAATATATGGTTCTATATACTTTTACATTAACTTAGTACAAAAAATAGCTACTTCCGGTTTACAAAAGGTCACTTCCGGTTGACTTTTTCAATGTCACATTGCTTGCAACCAAATGCAAAAAGTCCCTTGGCTTTATCATGTATACATATGAGGTAAAAGCAAAGGTCAAAATCTAGAACGTTAAATTTACCTATGACCTTGAGCTCAATTTCAAGGTCATAAACCAAGGACCACAAATCAAAAGACTCTAGGCCTCTACTTATAATTGTTAATGAGTTCTATTACCATACGACTAATATTAGATATAAAAGGGGGAAAACTCGCATCAAATGTCTACGTACCCTTTCAACTAAAATTTACGTGTTACGACATGTCGCAACTAACAATTGTGTGAAAATATTTTGTCGATATCTTATATGATTTCTAAAAATAAGAGATAACAAGCCAAAATCAAAATTTTGAACATGACCTTGACCTTTGACCTTGACCTCATTTTCATTTTTTTGGACCAAGGACCTCATATCAAAAGACCCTAGGCCTCTATCACTTATGGTTTTCCAGTTAAAAATACATTTCACTTATATCAAATACAAAAGGGGAAATAACTCTCATATGGAATCTCTATACGGCTTCGGTCAAAATAAAACCTAACATCTTGAGGATATAACGAGCAATTTGGAAAAATAAATTTGTCGCTTTCTTTTACGGTTGCGGAGGAGATCTCATAACAAGAAAAACAGTGTTTGGGGAGATAACTCTTACAAAGAAAAGTGTTCGGTTAAACAGGGTCAGTTTCAAAAGCGTATAGACTGTATGATATCATATACCAAAAAACTAAGCGACATCTTTTGAAACAAAAATACACCGCAAGAAAAAAATTAGGCGGAAGAAAAAAAAAATAATCAGAAGAAAACCAATAGGTCTTTCCACGGAAAGGTGGAAAGACCTAATAATGGTGCTACGATGAATAATGACATTACTCATGAGGAAGTTAAACGAGCAGTGATCAGTTTGAAAGTTAACAAAGCTGTTAATGTAGATGAAGTTCCATTGGAAGTCCTCAAGAATCCGTGTTTGTTGAACTTCCTACTTAGTTTGTTTAATAAATGTTTCTTCAGTGGTACAATTCCAACAATCTGGCGAAAAGGAATTATTAATCCAATACCTAAGTTGTCGACGTCGAATCCAAAAGACCCGATGTGTTACCGCGGTTTAACACTTGTTCCTGTTTGCTACAAGCTCTACTGTCATATATTGAATAACCGATTGCAGTTTGAATCGTGTAATATTAGTGACTGGTATAATGACACGAACATTCGTAAAACTACGGTGTTAGCTAAAATAGAAGATAAACTTTTAACCGATTTTAAAAATAAGTGGACGGATGATCTCCATAGAGTTTCTGCAAGACGTATGGATGGCGGTGGTAACAAATTAAGGACATATAGAACATTCAAAACCGAAATTAGCTGCAAACTTTATTTAAAAACACTGTTATCTCCTGCTCAACGTAGAGCATATTCACAATTCAGGTGTGGGGTTGCACCTATACGAATCGAAACCGGGCGCTACGAACGTTTACCAATGCATGAACGGACTTGCTTTATGTGTGATAATAAGATGGAAACTGAGGAACATGTACTACTTGAATGTCCGCTTTATGACGATTTAAGGAACGAACTCTATGAATATATAAACAGTGAAGATGAGAACTTTAACATGTTTACGAATCGTCAGAAACTGTCTTTTGTGTTGGGGTGCCAAAACGTTAATGTTATTTACAAATGTGCCAAAACCTGCAAATCTATTTTAGACAGAAGGAGACGTTTTTTATATCGATAAATTTTAGACTGTAAAGATTTAGTAATTTGTTTTAGAAATTTTAATAAGTACATAGTTTTATAAAGTCCTTTATTGTTTGATGAATTTTTACTTTTTGTCTCTCATAATTCTTTTAAGAATGGCATTAATATCTATTTATGTTTTTATGATATATGTAAATATTTTATCGTGGATATTAATGGTGAGACGTTAATAAACTATCTATCTATCTATCTATATTATTGGGTTCACGTTTAAAAAATTGAAAACAAAACGTTAATAATTTCATGCGTCCGAAGCGCTTTTCTGGATTTACCTTCATCAGGAACGCTCAAAGCCAAACATTAGAAATCCGAGGGATGTATAAGTACCGAAACAGTTGACGAGCTATATGACAAAAATACCTAAAACAAATAGCAAAATCCATCTAAGGTCAACTTTGCCTGAGGGAGTTGAAACCTTAGTTTCTTTATAATTTCAAAATTTATAAACGGACAATTTTAGAAAAGTTTGTTATAAATCATGTCAGTACCGACGTAATGACTACTGAGCTGATGATACCCTCGGGGACTGATAGTCCACCAGCAGAGGTATCGACCCAGTGATGTAATAAATTGAAAACAAGACGTTTGATAATTCCATGCGTCCGAAGCGCTTTTCTGGATTTACCTTCATCAGGAACGCTCAAAGCCAAACATTTGAAATCCAAGGATGTATAAGTACCAAAACAGTTGAAGAGCTATATGACAAAAATACCTAAAACAAATAGCCAAATCCATCTAACGTCAACTTTGCCTGAGGGAGTTGAAACCTTAGTTTCTTTATAATTTCAAAATTTATAAACGGACAATTTTAGAAAAGTTTCTTATAAATCATGTCAGTACCGAAATAATGACTACTGAACTGATGATACCCTCGGGGACTGATAGTCCACCAGCAGAGGTATCGACCCAGTGATGTAAAAAATTGAAAACAACACGTTTAATAATTTCATGCGTCCGAAGCGCTTTTCTGGATTTACTTTCATCAGGAACGCTCAAAGCCAAACATTTGAAATCCGAGGAATGTATAAGTACCGAAACAGTTGAAGAGCTATATGACAAAAATACCTAAAACAAATAGCCAAATCCATATAAGGTCAACTTTGCCTGAGGGAGTTGAAATCTTAGTTTCTTTATAATTTCAAAATTTATAAACGGATAATTTTAGAATAGTTTGTTATAAATAAAACAACATGTATACAATAGATCTTATTCTTATATTTTACACAGTTCCACAAGATCTTGATGAAAAAATCAAAGCAGTCCTGCTTGGGGCAATCATGTTAATCGTAAGTTGATATACAAATAAAGGTGGGAAGTATGCCACTGATGATCACATAATTAGATTAGAGAAACCTGTACATGGCTTTACTCAAAATAATAAGAAAAAAATACAAAATAGTCAAATGTTTATACCACGTTGACAACCATGCTATTTGCGCAGGAGATATAACGTTATGTACTGTATTGCAAGTTTGGCTTACATAACCGCCATATTGAGGTGACCTAGCGACGCTTAGCTTAAACATGTAAACGGATATTTGCAGTAAAACTAATTTTTATCTAGGTCAAACTTAAAACACAATTTTTAAATTACAATGCAAAATTAACAAAACATTGCTTTTGAATATTTATGACGGTGTAATGAGATTTTATGTCGAAAATTCATCTGAACGCTGATATCGTCTTTTGCACTTTGCACATTGTGGGGTACTAGTAGATCTTAGTAAATTGGGTTCATAGCTGTATCAAAAAACTATTTGCAGTACATGGGAATGCTTTTTAAAAGACAACTGAGTTGTGTTCTTTATATTATGTTATCCGAGGAGGATAATCTTATATACTTTTATATGGTATTTTTTTCCCAGAGACTGAGCTGGATGTATTAGGGTCTGGATGGGGTTTACAAAATACAGAATAATGACTAAAACATATAATGAATAGAGAAAAATAAGTACATAAAATAGAGAATAGAGAATAATGGGGTGCAAAAGAAATTATGACCCCCGAATTCCGACCCTCGAACATAATTTGTATTTATCTTGCAGGACTTCAGCCATTTTGAACAAGGACAACAACACTATTAAAGAGCAAGTAAGAGGGGGGTTATGTTAATATATGAATACAGCATGATATCACATCTTTTCTTAAACACTTGTATTATCTGGATCGTTTATCTGATAGGTAACGTTTGATTTGGTCAGTTTTTATGAACTTCCCCTTTTTGAATTTACTATGGAGTTTGTTTTTTTTGTGTATACTTTAACTTATATATTTTCAGAATAGACATTACATAGAATAGAGAATAATGGGGTGCAAAAGAATAAAGAATAACTGTGGAAAATAAAATAATTGGGTTAATACAATACAGAAATGAAGAACGTATAGAATTAAGAAATGATACATTTACAGATGAATTTAATAGTAAAATCATTTTCATGAGAATTTTACCGAATAAGAGTTATTTTTAAAGATAAAGAAAAATACCCCCAAAAATTAAAGAATACAAAAATGAAGGATCCCTTATCCAGACCCTCATATATCATTGCCATTTCAGTATATATCATTCTGGCGATTGTCGTTCCATTTTTTACTCATTTTTTTTATATTTATCATGTAAAACTATTTTTTTGGGGGGGAGGGGGCAGGGGTTTGAAGAGGTAGATAGAATAAAGACTAACGAGTTGAAGAATAGAGAAAAATGGGCTTAAAACTAAAGAATACTAAAAAATGGGCAAAAATAAAAAGAATAAACAATATATAAAGAATAGAGAAGTTTGTGGTGCTAACACATAGAAAGTAATGGAAAATGGTCATAAAAATAAAGGATATACAAAAATTGCATAAAAACTAAAGGTTACAGAAATTATGACCCCCGAATTCCGACCCTCGAACATAATTTGTATTTATCTTGCAGGACTTCAGCCATTTTGAACAAGGACAACAACACTATTAAAGAGCAAGTAAGAGGGGGGTTATGTTAATATTTGAATACAGCATGATATCACATCTTTTCTTAAACACTTGTATTATCTGGATCGTTTATCTGATTGGTAACGTTTGATTTGGTCAGTTTTTATGAACTTCCCCTTTTTGAATTTACTATGGAGTTTGGTTTTTTTGTGTATACTTTAACTTATATATTTTCAGAATAGACATTACTTTTCACCTGTCTATATTTGAATTGACACAAGTGTAATACAAATAAGAATAAGATAAACACTGTCTGCTGATAGAATGTAAAACGTGGAAATTTCTCAGGTGATCCGGAAGGGTTAGCACTTCCTGTTGATAGAATGTAAAACGTAGAGACTTATCATGTGCTCCGGTAGAGTGAGAACTTCCTGCTGATAGTAGGTAAAACGTGGAGTAATCTAAGATGCTTCGGTAGGGTTAGCACTTCCTGTTGATAGAAGGTAAAACGTGGAGTGTTCTCATGTGATCCGGTAGGGTTAGCACTTCCTGCTGATAAAAGGTAAAACGTGGAGTGTTCTCAGGTGGTCCGGTAAGGTTGGTACTTCCTGCTGATAGAAGGTAAAACGTGGAGTGTTCTCAGGTGGTCCGGTAGTGTTGGTACTTCCTGCTGATAGAAGGTAAAACGTGGAGTGTTCGCAGGTTCTCCGATAGGGTTAGCACTTCTTTCTGATAGAAGGTAAAACGTTGCGTGTTCTCATATACTCCGATAGGGTTAGTAGTTCCTGCTGATAGAAGGTAAAACGTTGAGTGTTCTCATATGCTCCGGTAGGGTTAGTACTTCCTGCTGTAGAAGGTAAAACGTGGAGTGTTCTCATGTGATCCGGTAGGATTAGCACTTCCTACTGATAAAAGGTGAAATATTGAAAACATTAGGTATGCATATCAAGCATAAAAATCAATTTTGAGGTGACGATGATGAATTAAAGGAGATATTGGTCAATGTAAAATAAACAGTAACCCAACAACACATTGGATTGGGAAGATACCAAAGTTAGTTACAAAGGTCACATTTATCAAAAGATCGAATTTCTTTTATTTGCAATATCAATTACACGAAGGTTGAAGGCCTGATTACTTAAAATAGTCAATTTCAGAATCTGTAACAAGAAAAAACTGTGGTGGCATGTTTTAGAAAATATAGCACTTGGAACGTCAGCCTTAATTTGTTAGCTGAAAATGTATAATTGATGCGTATCTCTATTATAATGTAAGAATATTCTACAGATTTACTTCGTTTTTCTTCTTCCCTTCTCAGCATCCACACGGTGTCATACATTGTAAACACCCCGTATAAATAGGGTTATATACAGTTGTTACAATATATCCATGCCAAAATATCTTACATTATTATTAATTATCTGTTTCTGTGCCACACAAAAATATGCAGGCGTAGGCCTTTACTGACATGTCAAATTTCTAGTTGATATTGTACTATTCAGTTAACTAATCGAAATGAAAAAGGAATGATATGACGAATAGTGAATAAACAGCACAGAAAGCATAAATCTTGCATGTCACCTTAGTTTATCCCCAGGTATATGTGGGATTCATGTTGTTAAGAGGGGCCTCGGTGGCCGAGTGGTCTAAGTAGTTACTACTGTAATCACTAGCCAGTCAACACTGAGGTTGTGAGTTCGAACCCCGCTCGTGCGGGCGCACTCGACTCCAATCTTAATTGACTAGGATTGTCAGTTTTCCTATCGAAGGTCGGTGGTTTTCTCTGGGCACTCCGGCTTCCTCCACCAATAAAAATTGGCCGCCACGAAATAGCCCAAAAGCGATGCTTAAAAGTGGCGTTAAAACACCAAAAATCAAATCAAATCAAATCATGTTGTTTAGTCTGTAGTTTTCTATTCAGTGGTTGTTTGTGACTGCTGTTTGCCTTTTCGTTTTTCCGATCGTTTTTGTTTAATTGTCCTATCGGTATATTCTCATCCCTTTTTTGACAATTCGATGATTTAAGCGATAAAAGAAACAATTGCTAGGTAGTAATGCAAAGAATATGATGTTGCACACGATATAGTCTAACATACATAATTATATTGTGAACAAAGTACTATTATATTGCTATAAAACGGTATCCATATTAAATTATGGGTCAGACAGACAATTCTATCAACTCAATTTAATTTGACAATATAACGTTTGCACTGCTACTCTTTTTTTTGCAGGGCTGTACTAATCTCCTTTTGGAAGACCGACCAATAGAGAAAGATTGAATAGTAACCCTATAAATAAGTTGTCATTTTACTTGGAACATTGTTTTGTATGTTGTAATGTGTTACTTTCACCTTATATTGACGAAAAAAAACAGTGTGCTTGCCTTGAATGTTGTGTACAAAGTCAGGAATATGACAATCATTTTCACAGTTATTCCTTTGGTTTATATAATCGAACGTTTTGATTTGTCAGAATTTATCTTGTAGTTCGTTATTTTTATTATTGCGTCTTTTGCATTAGTTTTTTTAAGGAATGACTGTAATATTTTTTTCTGTCTAAATATTACAGTCATTTCTTATAATTTAATTCTAAATTTCATTTTAAACCGGAGTAAACCATGAAAAAACGTTGATGACGTCACGGTCACATGACAAAATAGTTTATGAGCTGATAAACAAAACAACGTCAGCCAATCAGAAGACGCGTTACATCCAAAATTAAATTATTGATTTATAGAGTAACAGTCTTTATAAAGAAGATCGATTCAGTCGTTGGTTGCCTTTGATTGTATTTATTTTTCGTTTAATGTTTTGCACAACAATCAGATTCACGCATTCAAAAATGATAAAGGACACAGGTGTGTTTCAACAAAGAAATTTATTTATAATATAACATTTTTCAATGAAAACCAACAGCGTGATTGTTGTACAAAACATTAAACGAAAAATAAATACAATCAAATGCAACCAACGACAACCACTGAATTACACGCTATTGACTTGGGACAGGAACCTACAAAATATGGCAGGGTTAAATTTTTTGCAAGCGCTCAGTCCTCCCACTAACCTGGAACAGTGTTATAACAGCACAAGATTGTTGAATTTCTATTAATATGTTTTTAAAATGTCGCAAGGTGGCTGGAGTATTATTTTTGACTTTTGTCAGATTGTCTGAAATTTTGGCAAATACATCAGCTAACTATACAACCAGGTTTAATCTACCATTTTCGTCATAAGGAAATGCCTGTACCAAGTCAGGAATATGGCAGTTGTTTTTTCGTTCGTTTGATTTTGCCATTTTATAAGGGACGTTCCGTTTTGAATTGAATGTTGTGTACCAAGTCAGGAATATGACAATCATTTTTCACAGTCATTCGGCATTTTTGTTATTTTACTTTTTGCGATAAAGTATATCATTCATATATGTAGGTAATCAAACAATCTGTACGTATTTATGTATAATACCGCTATCATTATCAAGGTCTTTCTCGTGCCATAGTTAACATGTTAAATACTCGTATCGACCTTATTGTCCTGAAGTTGTTTGGTTTATAAGACTTGTGCTATATTTTATTTGTTTGCCAATTAAGTTTGATACTTATGTGTTTTTGTCAACAATATTGTGTATTGTATATGGTTGAAAAATATATTAAATAGACAATCTTCATTTTTTTATTTCTTTTTTTTTCTTTTTACAGGCAGAAAATGCCTACACCACCTGCTTTTGTTATATAAATATCACTTTTGGCGACTTCACATCTAAAATAATAAACATTATGTACACCTGGTGCGCGTTGCGTTGACTTAAGACTCACTGAGACATTCTATATGGGACACAATGATCGTCACATCAACTGTAAAATCATTATTAAGCGTTTGGACGGGGTTTACGGAATAGAGAAAAAGTGGGTCATATCTACAGAAAAATGACCCAAACAAATTAAGAATAGAGAAGAATAGGACAAACACGTATAGCATAGAGAATGATGGGGTTCTAACTATTCTACATCAACTTGCATTTTCATCAAACTTTACAGCTATCTCAATTATATATTGATCTTAAAGAATGCCAGCTTGTGTGGTCGTTTGGTGTATTGCTGTCAAATTTAAGGATTTAATTGATAGGTAAAAAAAATACTAAAATTTTTAGTTTTGACTAAATTCAGATAGATACCTATAAATTGAATATTTAAATTTGACAGAAATAAATCAAATTACCAATTAGCCAGGTATTTTTTAAGATTAATGTGTAATTGCGATAGCGTAAACCTTAGTGTTGCGGAGTATTTAAACAATTATTAACAAAAGAGACCGCGCCAAGGATATTTTATATCAACGCGAGAGGACTGAGTACATAAAAGAGTAATAAATTATTATGCATTCCCGTACGGGGAGCACCTGTTTTCTGTATTCTTAATCTTTTTGTTCAGATGTAGACACATAGTTCTATATAATCATTTGATGGTTTTGAATAAACTTGTTACAGCTAAAATTTTCAATTTACTAGAAAAAAATGTATTCTGTTGCATGACAGATAATTCCGGCTTGGACAATTGTTTTTACAAGTCAAATAAAATATCCTTTACTTAAATATATACTGTAGAAAATATATTGGAGGGTAAAAGTGCAGTGTAGCTGTCTATATTTCATAATTTATAAATGATACAATGGTTAATCATAATTTTCTTTGGGACTTGAAAACTTCTTTCTATGTAGGCTGTAAACTCAAAATATAGAATAATGAAAATGTCTGTTAAAAATTAAAACTACTTATGGCCAAGGAAAAGTAATTAGAGTATATTACAGATTTAAATAGTATTTTGTATACAACTTTGGCTCGTGAACTAAAATTAAAAATTGGAAAATAATGGCATATGTCTCTTTTATTTTCTTAAATATTTCTGAATGAGTTCTTTCAAATTAGGTAAACATTTGTATAGAAAGCACTATACAATCGGCGAAAAACGTTCTTAAATTTGTCTTAAAATCATCAAATCTTTTACTATAAAATATATAATATACTTTGTTGATAAAGATATTTCCGTTTTAATGATATAAAATAAATTGTGTTTTCACAGTATACACTATTCAAAGTAGCGTTCTTGGTGAAAAGGTGGAAAAATACCACAAAACGTCGAAATATGCGCAACGTTGTAGGCCGTAAATATGTTCTTTTTCATTTTCAGTTATAGTTCAACGGGTCAAAGTTGTATGCAAACATTTACCAAAATCTGTGAAATAGCCCATTTACTGTAACTTGACCTTAAATTGTAAAACAATTTAATACATTCTTATAGACAGATGAGTTATCTCTATAGCAGAGAATTCCTTACATTGAAACCATTTCGTTCGTGACGCCAAAATATCGTTATCATAATTTTCGTTGAATAACTTATTCTATGCAATTTCATTTTTGTATTTTTTTTTTTAATTAATAAAAATAAATGAGTAAAAAAGTGAAACAATATGACATGAGAACACAATAAATATATGAGATGCAGTTAAGTTTCTTACTCATGTTACTAGTGCAAAACTTATAACATAAAAACTAAAATCCAATATACAAGTGTACAAATCAAAAACAGGAGAGGAAAACCAATTCGTGAAAGTTTATCCAACTTTTCAGCGTTGCTTCTTCCACCAGGCGCGTAGCTGCCTTTACGCAAAAAATCATTTGCTTGCACATTTTTTTCACAAAAAAAATAATTCTGAAATTAAATTACAAACGAGTAGGAAGACAGGTCAACCGGGCTAACTATCCAGCTGACACTCCAAGTCAGTATTGGAAACGAGCCTTGACTATTTCATTGAGGAACTCACAGGACGTTTACTGGATAACTCTGATCGTTTTCAAGGCCAGAACCTTATACCTGCACGTTTGGAATCTTTGACAGCAGAGTGTATAGACAAACTATACGAAACATTTAGACACGACTTGACGGACAATCAAGAAACGTTCAACTCTGAGGTAAAGAGATGGCAGAGACGCTGGTCGGGTCCAGATGTTATAGAGTAGCCCAAATCTCTGATGTCGTCTCTAGCAGTGACTCAAAAGGAACTATATCCTTCAATAGTTTGCAATCGTGTCAATCCTAGTTACAATGCCAGTAACTACATCAACTACTGAACGGTAATTTAGTGCATTACGGCGACTGAAAACTCATCTCCGTTCAACCATGGTATAGGACAGAATATCTTCGTTGGCGCTCATACATGTTCACAAAGAAATGAATATCGACACCGAGAGAGTTCTGCGATCATTTGCCTTGGCAAAAAATAGATATATGGACTTTGGATATTAACTATACTTTAAGTCTTACATGCAGTATTAACATTTAATAATACAGGCTCAATACAATAACCTTGAAAACATCTTAGATTCATATCCCTCACTTATAAGTCAAGACTTAAAAGTCGCCGTTTGATTTCGTATTCCCATTGTCCGTTCGTCCAAAAGACTATTAATTCACCTTGGGTATTTGTGTCCCAAGTGACCTTCTACCGTTGTCGTAGAAACCCCTCCTTTGATTCGAAAATGACCTTAGTGAGAAACGCTACGGTCGGGTGTCTTGCAAGAAGCAGGACCTGCTTACCCTTCCGGAGCACTGGAGGTCGCCACATTTTTTTTTCGGGGTTCCTGTTTTTTATATGTATTTAGTTTCAATATTGAATGTTTTTGTTTGTTCTTTTGTGTCTTATCTGTTCCCGGGTTGGTCATGTGTCCATTGATTGCCCTTCTATTGATAAACGCTTCGGTTGACTTGTCGACTTATCTTCCCGGTTTATAAAACTTATTTTATATTTGAAAACAACCATGTTAATAAGGAGTAATGTGAATTTCATAAGCATGGCATACCTGGAAAATGACCGAAAAATAATAATTTTCTGCATAAAAAGGTCCCAAAAAAATGTTCGCCTCGCTCCGCTCGGCGATACAAGACTTATGCTTGCACTTTGTTTTAGGCCAGCTACGCCCCTGTCCACTGTATGTAACTATGTATATCTGTAAAAATAAAAATATCAAAGAAAATAGAAGTGTTTTCATTGAATATTTATACTATATTGTATGTTTAACATTAGCATAAAACATTTCACAATGACAATTTCACTGTACCCGATGTGCATTTCAAAAATTAATTTATCTTAAGGGATGCTCGAGATCAAAATATTTGGAAATCCATCACTTACTACAAGCACTGAAGAGCTTAAACAGAAATATGGTTAAGTAAAAGGCTAAGATCTAAAAAGAATAAAAGAACTGTTATAACTGACCAGGGCCAAAAGGTATAACCGAACCCGAGCAAGAAATCATACAAAGCATGAAGGAGATAGATTCCTTTTTCAAATTTCCTAAAGATCACTATTAGTGCTGTCAAGCCAATACTACGAACTAAGCTATTAGTCTGATATTATACATTGGGGTCTTATAATCCACCAGCTTTTAAAAGGTACAATAAAAACAGTTTTTCTCTATGTATGTTTTAGTTTTTGTTCTCTCGACTACCATTGGTTTTCTTTTTTTTATTTCATGTGATAGTCTTATTTACAGTGGTCATGATCATACCGAATGAGGTTAAAGGTTAAGTCAAAATACTGTACCCCAGTAGCCAAGACCCTTCATGAAAATAAATTCATCATATATACCAGGATTAAAATTGTGTACGCCAGACGTTTCGTCCACAAAAGACTCATCAGTGCCGCTCGAATCAAAATAGTTAAAAATGCAAAATACAGTAAGAAGATGAAGAGCATTGAGGACCCAAACTTCGAAAGGTTTTGCCAGATGCAGCTAAGATAATCTATTCCTGGTGCAGAACATCTTTAGTATTTCGAACAAATCATAGTTTTGTTAACAGTGAATTTATAATTATGACCATAATTCATGTCAGCACAAAAGTGATGACTACTGAAAAATGCAGATATTGTTCAATAGAAATTTGCTGTTAAATCAAAGAATAATATCCAATCAAATAAAGTACCCGTATCAATTATGACTACATATATTTTTTACATATAAATTCCCAGTTTTTTGGGGAGGAAACGTCGAGAAGTTGAGAAAAACATAAACTTCGGAACACTATTAACCTGGCCCCGTATTCACAAAACTATCGTAACGTTACGACTGTCGTAAGGTAAGTTTTACGATATCGTAAATTGCAACTTGTATTCACAAAAGAAACTTACGATGCGATGTGTTGTAAATATTGTAATAAACTTACGACTGCTCGATGCCTGTCGTAACTGTCAATCGTGATCGTAAAAATGGAGGCAGCGCTAATATAAGAGAAAACGAACGATTCATTAGACGAACAAGAGTATTTTTAATAGTTCTTTTCCCTATTAAAGCCCGATGATTTACTATTTATAGATGCAGACTTCAAAGGCATAAAGTTGTAATTATTAGTATGTCTCTATGATGGTGGAAGTACATCTTAAACAGAGAACAACTTGATATATGCTAATATCGGTTTGAAACATTCTTAAACATCCAAGTAGATGTAACGGGGAGCTGGATATTCCCAAAAAAGAAGTACCCCGAAATAATATTGTTTTCCGTCTTGAATGATTCGCGTAAATAAACAAAATACAGACAGATATCGGAAAAATATAATGGCAAGCTCCATGTTTTGGTAAGAGAAACCCAAAAAATAATTCGGACTAAAAATAATATAGAG